GAAAATATATTTGCCGTACCCGTGCAGGTGCGCTGGGCGTTAATGGGTAATAAAATTTTCAAAAGGAAGGTTACAGATAAAATATTGCAATAAATAATAGTATAAACAAGTTTTTTTCGTATAATCGAAAGTTAATAGTAGATAAGGTTCTGAAACTGTTTTCTTTTGGCATGTATAAGTTAAATACTATATGGAATTGGGCTACAAAAGACTAATAAAAATTTTATTTTTAACTAAAAAATTTGACGTTTGGATTTCCACTCCGAAAAAAATAGATTACTATTAAACCCTAGAATATACAGTATTCTTTAGGTTCATTGCACGCAATTAATAATTTTCTACCTCGTCACTATATATTTGAATTTTCCTAAACATAAGTTTAGAATTATTTAAATTCCATACAGAACAAATCAATAAAATTAAGTTAAGACCAGTATTTTCTAAAAACCGCAAAAACATTCACAACTTAAAAATTTGTAAAAAGGCGCATTATGCCGTTTGGTTAACAACCTCCTTATTCTAGATATATTTTGTTAGAATAATAATTTGGTACAGAGCTAATGCATGAAAAATAAAATATATAAATAATTTCATTGTAAGATATTTATTAAAAAAAATAAAAAAAACGAAAAATTAAGTTTGTGCTCTTAATATATCACAGAAATGTATTGCATTGAAATTTTTTTAATCTGTGCATAATTTCATCTTGATTGGAATTGAGTATATAACAGCCAATCCGAGAAAACAGCCCTGAAAGAACTTTAGTCCAATCCAAATCTAGTCATTCTTCCCGTCGATAAATGCAATGCCATTGTCATCCTAAACCCTTCTTCTTATATTAATAAACTCTCAAATTTCACTAATACTCCAGACTACATACCCATTAATAATAATCCAACAACCTATCTGGAGAAAACAACAAAAGCCATTATCAATAAAACCTCTCTTCCTGTTGACATAAAACAATCTCTAATTCCTCGTGAAAAGTCTTCCCGAACACCTCGAATATATGACCTACCCAAAATTCACAAACTCAATATTCCTCTACGTCCCGTTGTCAGTGCACAAAACTGCCCTACACAACCGTTGGCCAAAACTCTACAACCTCTCGCCGAAAGTGCTTCATCCTTCGTCAAAAATTCTTTTCATTTCATCGAACTTCTTAAATATCCCCTATCCCACCCTGAGACATTCTAGTAAGTTTCGATATCGTTTCACTCTTTACAAACACTCCTAAACATTCTGAACTTATCTCCCATTAAACATTGTATGTCACAACATTTATTTCATCTTCCAAAATCAATTCTACAGACAAATAAACGGTGCTCAATGAGCTCCCCACTATCTCCAGTAATTGCCAATATCTTTATGGAATACTTCTAGACTCGAGCATTATCCACATCAATGCTCTAACCCACATGTTGGGTGCGGTATGTTGACGATGCATTCGTCATTTAGCCCCATGACAGGGATGCTTTGGTGTCTTTTTAAACCTAAATGGTATACATTCTAGTATCCAGTTCACGATGGAGGTGGAAACTGATTCGTCCCTACCGTTTCTCGACGTTATCATAAAGAAAAACCAATCCCAAGGTTTTCATCTCTGTTTATCGAAAACCCACCCACACCAATTGTTGCTTGCATGCCAACTCTCATCATCTCCCTTCATAAATTAATTCATTTATACGCTTGTCTCCAGATCAATTCGCAATGATGCAAGTAGACCCGCTGAGCTCTCTAGTTTAAAGCAAGCCCTCATCCAAAACGCTTACCGTGAAAATTACGTCAATAGTAGTATCCACAGACATCAATCTCAACCCAAAGACTCAGACCCTCAGCTTATCATACGAAAGCTTTTCTTGCTTGCATCAAAGGCGTCACTGACAAAATCGACAAAATTCTAAAATCAAGAGGAATATAGACAATATTTACCACCCAACAAAAACTTTCGTCTCTTGTCCGATCAATCAAAGACAACATTCCAAATCAACAACACGGAGTTTATGAAGACTACCCCCCCCCCCCCCGATCTATATAGATCAAGCAAATATAGGATTTATGAACATTCCATTTCTGTTCGCAATTCCGACTCAATTTTGAGTTCTAGGTCAACACCGTCTTCATAACGGCCACAAAATAATTGATTTTGAAAACTCCAGAACCATAGCCTCCATCCGCTTCTATAAACCAAGAATTATCTGAGAAGCCATACAAATTGAAAAAAGGCCAAATTATCTCAATAAAAGAGATGAAGGCATATGGTTACCTTCGACTTGGAGACCTCTTATAAAGAAAATATCGTCCGCTCCACCTGTCATTCATAATCCAACCTCTACCCAAACCACGTCACCATCGACGTATAAATGAACCATCGTATATTCCCAGTACCAGTAATGTATTGGTTAGTGATCAGTGTAGTAGTGTCTGGGGGCTCGGGATACTGAAAACTCGGAAGCGCTGAAGAAGACAATAATTTTAGCCCAAAAAAAAACTAGTAAGTAGTCCTATACCCTGAATTCAATTGGATTGTCAGGGCAGACATTTTGTAGTTCGTTAACACTCGGTGGTAAGCGGCTATATATTTATTTCTTTACTAGCACACAAATCCACTTCTCAATTATCATTTTTACCGGTTACATCTGTTGGAAGTTCGAACTACTCGCCTTGTTGCGAAATTTATTATTTAGTACCGCTTGTAGCTTATCCGTGCCATTAGGGTATACCTTGAGTGCCAATAGAGAGACAGGCGGACACCGTTATTTCTTTTCGAACGTAATATTCCTAATGAAATCTGGCACCATTGTTAAAACTCACCCACAAACGACCATTAAAATCAGTTGGTTGGCAGTATTTCATGAGCGTACCGTCGTCGGGTAACATCATGGCATCAAAACCAACGTGCAGTACATCTGTTAATAAACAAAATAAAAAAAGGTGGTTATCTGTGAGAGAAAAGGAAATGATAAAATCGGTTTATGAGGGATTGCGAGAAGATATCAAGATATGCTTATAGAGGACGTCGCACCATTGTGTGGAGATTTAACGAAAGTATCGGCTCGTACGGTTTTCCGAATAATTCAAGGTAACAAATCTATCCAAAAACCAATCCAGAAAGGACGTGCAAAAATTGTATTGGACGATAGTACGAAAAGTATAATTCGAAAAAAAGTCCATGGATTTTATTTTAGGAACGAACTGCCACGTTAAAGGCTATTCAACGAGAAGTTAATGCAGACGCAGATGATAATTTAAAATAATATTTCTATGAGAGTATTCAAAGAACTTTACATGAAATGGACTTTCGGTATGTAAAGAGAAATCGGAAAAAGTTTGTTGATCGAGAGAAACGAATTAGTGATATGGCGGAGAAAATTTTTGACTTAATGATAGGTCTCTTACTGAGTACAAAATAAACAACTAGCCCAATCCTAGCATATGAATCATCAAATCAAACTTGTGTTATTAAACAATACTGACAGGTTAAAAATATCTATTCTCAGAAAACTTGTTTTAGAATACTCTGAAAACAAGTTTTTGAGAATACGATATTTTGTTATTTATCTTCTGTCAGTATTGTTAATACACAAGTTTTGAGATAACTGTTTTCCTTTCATAAGACAAATACTTTTTGGAGGTTTTAAATAATTAGTCATTAATTTATGTGTTTTTAAATCAAATCTAATAATACTTTATGTCACACAAAGGACATTAAAACTTACTTGAATGGATTGGTCTCTTAATTTTTTGCTTATTGTCTCGGCCGTTAATGGATTACGTAGACACGCTGCATATTAAAATTTAAATACCAGATTATAGATATTAAAATAACAAATATCTTTCTTTTTTCGTGCCTTTCATTGTATGTTATCGAAACCCTTGCAATATTTCCGTGCAAAACTGTTGTAACTCTGTTATATTAGAATTGCAACAGTTTTGCACGGAACCTATGTACTCAAACGCTAAATAGTGTAAACTGTTGTTGTAATATTTAGCCGGTTAAGCATTTGAAAGTTACTAAAGTTTTATACGGAATAGATATGCATGTTTACAATCGAATTCCATGATTACTTCATTTTCATAAAATTTTGAGTTACTGCAATCTTGCACTGGGGGTGCGATATACACGGTATAGTAAGATGTCAGGTCAGAACTGCACCAGATCATTTGGTTGTATTTACTTTGGTTTTACATGCAAGTTTATCATTAAAAAATTTAATGAGTGATGGCAATTGATGTGATACCCCGTCGATGCAGACGGGCAAAATCAGTAGTATGTTTTATAAAACGAATTCTACTACAAGAAACTTGTAGAAATATTTTTACTGATAATATCTTTTGGCCAACTAGAGTGACAAATACTTTAGCGGCATATTTTTTAAAACACTACTTTGTAAGGTCCTATATGTGTACTTAATAATGTTGCTAACGATAACTCAACAACAAAAATGGTTGTATATCAGTTTACCCAGGACGAATTTCGTGAATTGTTAATTAAAAAACTGAAAAATACCAGATATTGTGGATCTGGTATATCGACGTTCCTGGGTTTAACACAAAATAATTTCACCTCTTTACAATTCTGCACGTAAATTTTATTTTGATAAATTTAAATTATTTAATTTGATTTGAGCATAGTTTATACATATTTTGCCTTTTTATTAGTCCATATATTTGTTTACAAATACACTTCTTCAAGAGAATAGTGATACATATAATTTATAATAATTCTTCAATATAAGTAGAGCTATCAATAACTTCGAAAAAACAATGTGTAGCCACTGGTAGACCAACAATTACTCAGAATGGTCATCAACATTTCCAGGAATTTAGTGCATACAATTCTGATACTTTGGCCTTTTGGCTTTGCCAGTGCCATTAAAATTAGGAAAAAGAAATTCTGAAGGTATAGTATTCTGATACTTAAATTGAAATTAATCGGGGAACTTTTTGTAGTTTGTTATTAAATAAAAAATAAATGTTCTTTTGTGTTTTAATTAATACCGGTAGATAACATGTTTTGTACTTTAGGAAATAAAATAAATAAAACAGTTAATATAAAAATAATTACATATAAAAATTTTGTTATTATATTTCTATATCAACTACAGATTGATTCTACCTACTACTACTACTATCAGTGCTTTCTTTTCTTCTTTGGATACGTAAACACTTCTTACAAGGTACTTGTCTAGACCAACACTTCATATGATAGCAAGTGCCACATTTATCACATCTAGACACAGATCTCATCTGCCATGGGAATATCACCTCATCTGCGCCACAGAATTCGCAGATAAAGCCTCGAGCTAGGCATAGCTACAACAAAACAAATTTTAAATAACAGTATTACTAACAAGGCAAAAGGACAAGTTATATTCGGAAAGGGATTTAGCACTAGTGATCGACCTAAATGAAATATTGATATAATTAATATATATGAATATGAAATTATTAATGAAAAAGGCAAACGCTTATCACATAATCTAATCTCGAATACATACGAACAGACAACAATCTGTGAAATTCGTGGAAATTCATGGCCCATTAAATATATAAGGTTGTCTGAGAAAAAATGGTCGCAAATTAGAGTTGCCAGCTGTTAAAAAAGGTATCAAAGATATGGAAGTATAAAAAAGAGCTGGGGCACAACGCCACTGGTTTGAAGTGTCAGTTGTGTGCGATTTTAAAGCATGCGTGTATATATAGCGTTAATAATACACATATCATCACTTGTCAAACCAGTGTCGTTGCGCGTCAACTCTATTTTACATTATCTTATAAAGTTTGCATTTTTCTACAAATTAAAAAAAAAAAAAGAAAAAATTGTCTTGGTACAAAGTCCCTTTGTTTTAAATTGGTGCAACTTTGTTTATAAAAATTAAGAGATCCAATTAGCGTCATTTGATTTGATTTAACATACTTTAAAGTTTTAATGTACAAAATTCGAAAAAGATTGTCTTTTTAATGGAATCATCCACAAAGCTTCAAAATGTGGTCCTCAAAATCGGCCGGTTGGAAACTCGCGGGACTATCTATTCAGATTGCCATCAATGACAAGTTGTCCCACGATATGTTTTCCCAAAATTCCGGCTCATACATTAAGACTTTAAAGGTGTTGAGTATGAGTTTTCCTGAACCAATGTGGATTGATGTCGCTTCACACAACATAACGACTGTGTTTACCTCGACATTAAAAATAATAGCACCCGTCCGAAAAACGACATTGTAAAGCAAACGGATATCAGTGTTGGGAAAAAAGTATTTAGTATGGATGGTAGATTACATTTTTATTTGGGTGACTTTGATTAAAAATTCTTGCCGCCTCTTTGGTAAAATTATGATTACGAAAGTTAATGGCAGCTTTCAGTTTCAGCATTGTGGTATCACGCCTCTACGTTATTAACATTTAGTATAATATATTTATATTTATTTTATATATAGTATTTTATATTCAGACGAGTATATTTCACTATATTGCTTCTTCTTCGTATGAACTTATACACACTTGCAGTTTTTTAATTTACAGCATGAACAGGAAGGAACCAACTGGTGACATTATATCAACTTATTAAATATAAGTAAGTTAATATGAATGTAACTACTGACACAGAAACATATTAAATTAATATTTATTATATTAAATTCGTAAGGTTACTTCTTCGGGAAGCCAATTTCTCGCGCCTGGGCCATCTGGAAAATGAGTGCGGTGGATTTCTTGCAAGGCCTGACTCCAATAAGTAACTTGGTGCTGGACACTCGAAGTTGTTTTAATGTTTTGTGGTCCGTGGTTATTCTGTGTTGTTCAGCCAGGCCGCCTTTTTTGTCATTTTGTCAACATTCGGGCTGGCATCTCTACCCCATTGATCAAGCGATTTGTTTCTACTAATTTCAGCATGACCAATCTCGTATTTCTATGTGTAGGTTGCACCTATTCTCGACGGGTGAAGAGCGAAATGCCCGTCTGGTTTGCTCTCGTGCGGGGTTTCTTTCTAGGTTTGGAATTTTCTGATTGTCTGGTTTTCACGTTCGCCCATCACCAGTGCTTCTGCGGTTAGTTCGAATACAGCCTCATTTTTGTCTGGCGCGTGTCTCGTAGGTGGATAGTCTGGGATTTCAGTACTTTAGTATACGCATGCTTTGATGTAGTTCAGCGATGTCTGTGTTTATCGGTTAGTTCTGGGTTTTGTTGGCATTTTTGAACTATAGTGTTGTGTGCGGCTAGTCGTCTGTGTTGCTGGTGGAGCGACTTTTGCTTTAAAACATGGAAGCCATTGGTTGGTGTGGGACTTTATAGTTTCCGTTATGTGCCTCATGTGTTGTTAGTTTAACTGGGTATCTATGACTTTTGTGTGGATGACTGTGTAGCCATGACAGAGCGCAATATTCTGCAGTAGGATTATACTAAGGACAGCGCGCTCGTTCATTATTACCTCTGATTCGACCACCATGATGTATTTGCTAATTTATGGATAATAATATTAGGGTCTTAATTTTGTGAAGTGTTTTCCAAATGCTTTTGAATGTTAGGGTACAATTTAGAGTTACGCCGAGGTATTTTTTGGGTTTGAACTTATGCTTTAGTCTGGTTCTATCGCATTCTATGTTTAGTCTGTAATTTGCCTGTGTTGTTTGTTTAGATGGAAAGCTGTTTTCGATGGGTTTGGTTGTAGGCCCCATTTCTTAAAGTATTTGTTAACAGTGTTTAGATCTTGCTTCTATGGTGGTTTCTGCGATGTTTATTTGTCTTCATTCTTGGGCACCAAAAGTAATGTATCGGCATAAATAAATTTGCGCGAGGTGGTAGTTCGTACATCTGAGCGTATAAATATTAAAAATAAGAGGAGACATAACTGACCCTTGTGGCAAGCCGTTTTGCAGGTTTCTGATAGTTAGCCATTTAGGTGTACTTGGAAAAGTCTGTCACTTAGCATTTGGTTTAAAACCTGTTGAACGCACGGCACGGTAACATCTGGTATATTTTATTAAAAAGACCCTCCTTCCACACTGTGTCGTAGGCGCAGGTCAGTCTATGAATGCTGTGCTACTGTTTTCAGTTTCTTTTGGAATCCGTTCTCAATAAATATTGTTAAGGAGAGGATTGTTCGCCACGTTCTTCCAGCATGATCCAGCTTGTTCTTTAGGAATATTTTGACTTGGTAAAGTAAAATATTCGTTTGGATTATCCTCTCGAAAATCTTGTAGCAGACGCTTAAAAAAGAGCGATTGGTCTGTAGCTCTCAGGTAATGCAGATCTTTCACAGTTATAGATATTGCGATGATTCATTCTTTTTTTGAAGGATTTTGGAAACTTCTGCTTAGTTAGTATTTGATTGTAGAATCCAAGAAGCCACTTTCTGGCATTCGTCCAATGTGTTTTATAAATTCAGGATAAATGTTGTCAACTCCTGCGCCTTTACATTTCATTCTTTTAGAGCTTCCCAAGTTCTTCTGGTTCGATGAGCTTCATTATCGGTAGGCTTTGTTGTTGAGCAAGTTTGGCTTCAGCAGCAGTGGTAAATGAGTTTGGCATTTTTTCGGATGTTCTTTTGTTTCTACTTTGTATTTTCATTAATTTACTTGAAATAACTTCGCTTGAAAAAACTACACACTTTGCTGTTTTTGGATTTTTTTTACCTAGTTTTAGAAAGAGTACAAATTATCGTTAGTAGTAGTATTATGTACAAGGTGTATATAACAAAAAAAATGCCAAAATGATAAGACACAATGGTATATTAAGAACATTTGTGTCAAGAAAATTTAAGAAACACAATTGTATAAAATAAATTAAATTATACACATAAAAGTCCTACACGATGCCGATGGACAAAAGTCTTGAGAAAGTTTTAAATAGAGTTTACGTGATGGAAATATTCTAGATATAGCGTTATTGCTATACTTTGAACAGGAAGAGACAATATAAAATAATAATAATCGTTTTAAGGTGAAACATGAAAAATTCAGATAAACATTTTGCATTAAATAAAAAAATAAATTAAATTATACACATAAATAGATCCTATACGATGCCGATGGACAAAAGTGTTATCTGTAGAAGTTTTAAATAGAGTTTACGTGATGGAAATATTCTAGATATAGCGTTATTGCTATACTTTGACAGGAAGAGCAATATAAATAATAATAATCGTTTTAAGGTGAAACATGAAAAAATTCAGATAAACATTTTGCATTAAATAAAACATGATTTATTTTCATAAATTGTTTCAATTAACCATGTCTGTAATTTTTATTCTTTTACAGTTTACAAAACTCTTTTAAGTCATTTATAATTATAGTTTATAAATGATAGACATTCCCTTCTTAATATTGTATCACAAAGCCAGATCCTTACAAAAATATCTTCTAGAATCCTTAATTAATCACCGCCGGATTTATACACATCGACAACATAATGTTTAATTAATCAGAGATAGTCGATATCATTCTATAAATTGGTAAAGTTTTTTAGTACTTTTAGTTTTATAATTATTCTCAAGCAGTGTTTTGTAATGAATAAATAAATAAAAAATGTAAAAATAATACATAAATAGTGTAAAGTTTACACTACTTTTTAAAAACCAATTCCATTACTTCAGAAAACAATATTTAAACACCACGACCATCACTTAAGGGTGGCCGCACACAAAAAGAGCAAATCTGTTTTAGTCAATAAACGTTTTTATCTAAACGTGTTTGATGCTGATGTTTTCATATAAATAAATGAGCTGACGCACACTGATTAGTCGTGTGTCTAAGCATGATAAGGCTCATTTAGTTTCAGTCAGTCTGTTTGATGTTTGATTACCTGATCGTCGTTTATGTTCGAAACATTTCAATGTACGCAGGCGCAACGTGTTTTTTTGCAATCCCTTTTTGAATACGCTCGAATAGTCAACAAGGAGCACATGTGGAAACAGCGATATTTTGTTTTTTCGTCTTATAGGAGGAACCACTGCCAGAAAAATAGTGCAATTTCGTCGTTATCTGTCAAACATCTTTAATAAAACTGTTGCATTATGGTTTGCGCAAACAGTTTGTTTCTCTTGCAAAACAAAATGTTTTTTGTGGAAATAAAAACGTTTTCGTTTTCAAACAAAAACGTTTTTGACTAAAACAGTTTTGCTCTTTCTGTGTGCGGCCACCCTTAAGGTACATTTTTTCTAGGAAACCCTACCTACCTGACACTCGGAGGTATGATGGCAACATATATCTACGAGATGTTTGAGTTTTATGATTAATTCTCCACTGCGAATTTTATATAAGTCATCCATAGAATACATGTCTGGTTCTGACAGAGATGATCCCATACTTTCTTCTAACGTTGCCCGAATTCTGTAAAGAAATATGCTCAATAGATTTTATATTTGTACAGAATTATTCAGAGTGATTTTAAGAAAAAAGTTAATATTAAATAGTCACTGATAAGACAGAATTAATGAAATACTTGAAAACACAACACTCATTTCGTGAGGTTTTAAAAGAATATCTGTAAGAGTTAAAAACAAATTTTATTTTACATTCTTCTTAAATTTTTGGCTGACATTGTTTAGATAAGTGGTTCGCAACATGTTGTGGTGCATCGCCTCTTTCTGGAAGTTGACTAAACAATTTTACCGGTCACTCTTAAATAAAATAGTAAAACATTAAAATGTACATTTTTTACAGAGAAAATAAGTAACATAATAAAAGAAGATCATTGACGTACATACATTTAAAAACAGGAGAATCTGTTGACATTTTTAAAATTAGAATCTAAAAAAGAATTTTTGGAAAGCTGAACAACAAAACTAAATCCTTTCTCAATTACAAAAATATATTAACGGGAACGAGATAAAATGTGCTTAAGTTTTTCCCAGCAATTGTGAATAAGTGTCCATAAGGTTCAACTATGCTAACTCGTAACCGCCCTGCTTGAAAATGATTTTCGCCTCACAGTCATACTTCAGATCTAGAAACTGCGCCTGCAAAGAGTTATCAATCTTATACACAGCTTCAACCGAGAATGGATCTAGAATCCAATCAGTACTTTGTAACTTTGTCACATTTTGATTCCATGTCTGTTTTGTTCCATCTTCACCAGTAACTGGCGAAGATGATCCGTAAAAACTAGGATTTTATCTTCTGGGAGTTCCCGTCTTATCTGAAACAGTTTACAGTCAACACATACCTTGTGAATATCAAACAAATAATTCGAAAGATTGATAAATCTCACATAAATACAACTACTAGAAGTACAGATGTACGACGTAGATGCAAGGTAGAGAACATCAATAAGTGGGTAAGAAATAGAAGAGTAGAATGTAACGATCATATAAGCCAAATGACAACAAATAGTGTAGTAAAGACAAGACACAGTTCCTCACTAAAAAGACCACGAAAACGATGAAACAACAACTTACTAGAGGCACATTGAAAAACATAGAGTCATCTTTTTCCTATGCCGTCCCCATTAACAGAGGTTGGCGACCACATTTCTAAAAGTTTCTCTGCCTTTTGCAACGTGGAATAATTCGTCTACAGTCATGTTTGCCCAGTCTCGAATATTTCGCAGCCATGACTTCCTCTTTCTACCTATTCCCTTTTGCCCTTACAGAGTCATGTCTACATAAAAAGAAGAACTACTTTATGATCAATTACAATTGAAATCATCGATCTGCAATGTACATTTACTTTTTAATCAAATTGGTCAATTCTTATTCAACATCCGTGGTCATTTCGTCAATTCGCCAGGAAATAATATTATTGCTCAAAGGAACCCACAGACTAACCTAACCTAGCTTACTAAGGTCTAGCATAATTTCAACATTTTTTTTTGGTAGCCGGTAAAACAAGAGTTTCACCAACTGTGTGAGATGTGCTTCACCTTATAAGAAACAAAAAAGACTTTTTTCAAGATCGATTGCTCGTTTTTTAAATAAATCAATCACATTAGGCCGTTTATCAGCTTTAGCTTGGAGTTGTTGAAAGTAAGAAAGTTCTGTGCTCACTTTATCACTGTGTACTCTTGATGAATGATCTTTCATTATAGAAAGCTTCATTGCTTCATTACTAGTAAATGTTTTATCGCACAAAAGACAACGTGGAAACTTACCAATTTTCGGTGACGAAATAAAACCGAATTGTAAAATAGGTACTCCGCTGAGTATTGACACTTTTTTTTAATTATGCATGAATTTCTACACTTTAAATCAAGCGTACGAAAACTGATAGTGAGGAGCACAAAGGCTAGTCAACGCTGAGTCACCAATCGGCGCTGAGTAACAACTTGGTGCGATTAGAGAGAGGCGAGTAGAGTGAACTTGCCTGCTGAGACTAGTCATCATGCTACCCAACAGGTGCAAGTATTTATAGTTACAATAAAATAGCATTTGAAATCCATAACCATTGCACATTTGGCTAATACAATTATGGCAACTTCAAAATTAATACTATAATTTTCTAATATTTGATTTTCTGACTATAAATACTGTAATTTCATAAAAAATTTAAATATTCATATTTGGCGGCATTTTGTAGTAACCATAATAACAATCAAGAACTAGTTATCAACAACAAAAAATACAATAAACAGAAACGAGTGTCTTTCTGACATAAATCAAACATCAATATAATAATCAATGTCATAATAAATATACAGGGTGGTGAATCGGCAAACGGGCCATAGGAAATTCAATGGTAAATTCTAAATTGTTGAATTCCTGCTTCCCTAATTATTTTTACACCAAAAGTCATGGAAAACTATTTGTAGAGGACTCAAATATGTATCGAAAACAACTGTTAAAAATTATTCTACGACTTAAACGTATTCCAAAATTTTGCTAAAATATAATACATTTTTCTTTGAAAAAAATGTGTATTACGTGTTGCGTTTTGTCATATTATTGTTTCTGATATTTAATAATATTTAAATCAATTATATTTATCTATGATTTAAATGACCAAAATTTTGTGATTTATTGTTTATTAAAAAAAAATTAAGTTGATTAAAAAATGTACTCAGTTGAGGAGAAAAAAGCAATAATAAAAATGTTTTATTCATGTTATTATTTGTTATAGTTTTATGTTTAGAATAATCATTATTTTATTATTAGGAATAAAGATCACCCTAATAGTATATTAGAATTCATTGAATTGTTGTATAACTTAACTTAACATGGAATTAAATTTTAAGTGAATTAGAATATCTTACGTTAAATAAAGATCCGGTAGTGGCAGGAAAAGGTTTCGCGCTATTGCTGAGTACATTATGCGATTTTTCGTCAACTGAGTACATTTCATTATATTGATCGATTTGTAAAATTTATTTTTCACAAAAAGTAATAATGTTCAGTAGTAGTAGTATTTAGTTAAAATTCATTGTTTATAATTTAATCATAAATATAAAAAAATTGACAATTCAAATTGTCAAACATCTGACATTAATATGATAAAACACAGGTTATAATATTTTCTTGTATTACGTGTGGCCTAACTTTTGGGGTTGGTCTGGAAAAATTGTATCACATTTTTTCAAAATTATGAAGTACATTTGATTCGCAGAACGGTTTTAACATTTGTTTTTAATTCAGATTTTAGTCCTCTACAAATAGTTTTTTATGACTTTTGATCTAAAATAATTAGGGAAGCAGCAATTCAACAATTTAAAATTTCTCATTGAGTTTCCTATGGCCCGTTTGACGATTCACCACCCGGTATACAAAATTAAATAAAATTAAAATATTGTACTTACATAAATATCTAATTTGAATAAGTTAAGTTTTAATGTTTTGTCAATTTAAAAATTTAATGGATTAACTCATGTTGTAAGTTTTTTATACTACAAAGTAGTTTTTTTAGTTTTATACAATGTTTTTTAATTCTAATTTCATTGTATTTACTGATACCATATTTTCACATATCCTGAAGAAGCAAATAAATTTTGCGAAAGCTTGATAAAAGAACAAAGAGTTTCACTTATCCTGCCTTATTAATGACTACAACCTCAAAATAAAACTTTATTTATATATATATATATATATATATATATATATATCTATATATATATATAAATATATATATATTATATATAATATATATATTTATATATATATAATATATATATATTATATATATATATATATATATATATATATAATAAACTCTTAAATATTGGGGAAATCTGCAAGAAACAACTCTAATGTGTATCAATTGTTTCGCCGAACGTTTTCGCCAAGAGAATTCATTTGGCTTCTTCAGGGCTGAAAGAGAATAAATTATAATTAGCTACCATATATTATCTAATAAACAACATTTATCTTACCGTAAATTTTAGAAATATCGAGTTAATAATTCTACCAAAGTCAACTTAATCAAACAGATGAAAAATAGAGTAATAAAACTATCAGATCCTTCATTTCATACAAAAAACCTACAACATCCTACGGAAACTTTTTATTTCAAACTCTTATCCAACACCATTAGTAATTAGATTTTTGTTTAACACTATCCATAACGAAGATACTTCACCTTCCATCGTGACTAACACATGCTGATCCTGATGTCTAAAGTGGAACCCAGTCTCGGATACTCCTATCAATAAATATTTTTCATTACCCTATTTCAGAGATATCACTCCGGGGTTAACAAGGATTCTTAAAAGTGTTGAAAATATCTTTGGGAATAATAATAATAACATTAAACTTAATGTGGCTTGTAGATCACCCTAACAATTAATAATCTTTATTCGAAGATAAAAGATAAGACTCCCATAGATAGGCTTAGCACTTATTGTCTACAACATTCCATGCCTCTCTTGCAGCAATTCCTACATCGGCCAAAACATCTCAATGATTAGAAAATCACGTATTACACTACACAAAAGTGATTCTCGACTTCACGGTGACCGCTGTGCATTAGCCAAACATGTCCATTCCACTGGTCATCTCATGGACTATACGAACACTCAATTCTCCCACCGTGAGAACAATAAATCTAAAGAGAGTTCATTGAAATGTCTTATATTTTCCCTATCGATTTTTCCATCAATGTTAAGAGTGACATTAAGAATCTAAGCGATATATACCACTTCTTACTTAAATCAGATTACCAAGAACAATACAACATACCAGATACCTAACTTGACTGATATATCTATTAACAACTAACTTACTTTAATAATAATTTCATTAACTAAAAAAGATAACATTCCCCTTGCTTTTCTTAGATACATCTCAATAAGTTATTTATTATAATAATACATGAACAATATACTAATTAAAAAAGATATTTCAATTAAGAAAAATTCTACATAATAATAATATCTCCCTCCAATAACTGGGATTCATAACTTCAATCGGTTTTACCAATGAAACCTTAACGACATAAATATTCAATAAAGCAATCTACTTGTAGTTGTCAGCGTTTGCGTTCTGAGAAAACAGAACCTTCACATTCAAAACTTTATAACAATCAACATTTAGTTATTGCCGAAAATTCAAAGAATTACGTCCTTTTAAATGTAGTGTGCATTGGGTTTTTTTCGATTAACCTTGGGTTAAACCTGTATGCGTTTTTAAGTTCAAAGCTACCATACATTTCCAACGTTAAAAAAAAATACTTTTTTGCACTTAGTAACACAAAAAACACCACTATGTTGTTACTAGCTAAGTTTTTTACTCACATCATAACTCGCACATTTCTAAAATTTACGGTAAGATAAATGTATTTTTATTAGATAATATATGTGTAGCTAATGTATATATTTATTCGTCTTTCAGCCCTGAAACAAGCCAAATAAATTAATTATCTTTGGCGAAAACGTTCGGCGAATCAATTGATACACTATTAGAGTTTTTCTTGCAGATTTCCCCAATATTTAAGGAGTTTACTATTTCTAACTATATCTGCAAAGATTAATATTATATATATAGACATATCTTAATATAATTATATATGCTTATTATATATATATAGTATATATATAAACGTTTTGTTATACAACCAGACATAGAAACATCAAATATGACTCATCAGTCTCCTAAATTTTAAGATTTTGGCAATATATGAGCGCTATCATATAAGTGCTGTTTGCATTTGAAGTAAATAAAATAAATTTAAATCGATAACATATTCGATCTGATAATACCGGTTTGTTGAATCTGATTTCACAATCTGTTTAAAAAAAAAATGTACATTTATTTTAAATTCTGTTTTAACTTGTTTAATGTTTTTTCATATTGCATTTGAATCCGTCTTGTATTCATCCTCGCTATTACTCTTTCTACAATAAAATACAAACTTTTCTACTTACTGTTCTGCATATCTACAGGTTAATATGAAGTCTTTTAAATAGTGCAGACCTAATCTTAATTTTTTATAAAATTCGAGACTTTTAGACATTTTCCCTATATTCTTATTCACTGAGAATATCCTAAACAGAGGATCTGTATACATTTGTTCCAACAGTCGATACGAAAACGTCGATACAGGATAACTGCAACAATAAAATATGATTTTTGCATATTTTAATTACTCTAAATAAAGTAACATGAGCAAAAAGGAGTAAGAGTAACATTTATTTTTTATTTTCATTATTTTAATATATACTATATATATATATATATAATATCTATATATATATATATAATATATATATATCGCATCTAACCGACATCAGCGAGTTATTAGCGAGAAGCATATTTCTTTTACAATATTAAAATATTAGATATTTACAAAATGAATCGCCTTTTAAGCAATTTTGTTGTTTGTTGGGATACCGTAATATGCTTCTTGCTACGGAGGAAACTGGACAGTTTATAATACGTTTCGCTGCGAGCTTGACGTTACACTGCTCGCATTTCGGTTCGGATTCTTTTGTAATTAAAACTTATGTGTAACACTGGTTTGACCTAATCTAAGACAGGTTATGGTCACTACTTGATCTCTTCTTTTGGTAGGGAAACACCTCCAAGATTTAATGTTCGGTTTAATATTTCGAAGATTGGACACTAGAAAATTGTCCGTGGACAAAAAGGATCCGTGATTTCTTCTTAGAGTGCTGTCTCCCTACGGAGGTTGGCAATCATAATGGCTATTTTTATTTTAGAACTTGCTGCTCTAAACACATCAATCGATCTGCATTGATACCAATCACGTAGATTCTTTAACCATGAGTTCTGGCTTCGGCCAACAGATCTTCCTTGAATCTTTCCCTGTATTATGAGTCTCAAAATTTCATATTTTGGATCCTTCATCACGTGGTCTAGGTATTCCAGTTTTCTAGTTTGTATAGTGGTGATTAGTTCTGTTTCTTTACCAATCCTACTTCTTTATTTGTAATTCTATCGATCCATGATATTTTTAATACTCTGCGGTATAACCAGAGTTAGAAAGCCTCGATTCTTTTTAAATTGCATTTTTTTAATGTCCAAGTCTCAGCTCCATATAATAATATTGAAAATATATAACAGCGAATGGTACGTAGTCTTATCTCCAAATTTAGATTTTTGCACGTTAGGAGTGGTTTCATTCGTATAAATGCTAATCTGGCAATCTCTATTCGTCTCTTTATTTCTATAGTATGATCATTGGTTTCATTGATCAAAGTTCCCAAGTACTGATATTTTTCTACTTGTTCTATCACGTTATCATTGATTGTCAATAGGTGATGTATCTTTTGTGGTCTTTTGTGATTAGCATGTACTTCGTTTTTTTATAGTTTATAGTAATTCCTATCTCAGCATTATTCATACTCAAGCTTTCTATAAGATGTAGATCTTCTACGCTCGTTGCTATGATCACAGTGTCGTCTGCATATCGTAAGTTGTTAATTAATTTTCCGTAAACAGTGACTCCCGCTTCGATATTATTGAGCGTGTTTTGGAAAATTTCACTTCACATCCCTATCTAAACTCCCTCTACCAGATCTTAATTTTCTTCTGAGTGTTGCCCATCAATTTGAATACTATGGCACTTTGATTGCCATATAATGTTTGCACTATATTTATGATTTTACTGTCAATGCGCTTGTTCATAAGTATTAATATATGAGTTTTCATGTCTTACTTTATCGAAAGCTTTTTTCGTAGTCAACGAAGCACAACTATAGATCAACGTTTACATCCCGACATCGCTGAATCATTATGTTGATAGTAAAATATTCCTTCTCGATAGGAAGGAAGCCTTCCATTTCGGAAGCCGAACTGCGTCTCGCTAATATCCTCCTCTACGCCTTCGTGATATTCTCTTATGTATTACTTTTCAGCAGTCTTTTTAACATATGACTTATGAGGCTCAGTGTTCGACAATCAGATGCACTGCTTTTGCTGCGTGTTTTTTAGGAATGATGTATAAATGTTGACTTCAGTCCACTCTTGTGGTATTATTCCCGTATCGTACACCGTGTGTCGAATAAATCTGCAACATACTTCCAAGTTATCCTCTTCCACTAGTTTTAACAGTTCTACAGGTATTTCAATCTAATCCAGCTGCCTTAATTGTCTTTAGAGTTTTTGATAGCATATTTGATTTCATCTAACGATGATCTTCTGTCTCTCTAAAGGATTTAATTCTTGTATTTTCTGCATTTCTACCTAATTTCATCTTGGAAAAGTTCTCTAACGTACTCCTCCCATCGTCTTAATTTCTCTGGTAAATCTATTAGTAGTACTCCTTTTTTGTCTTTTATGTGTCCTTCCTGTATTTCGACCCATTCCAGTCACTTATCTTATCTTTTTGTGTGCACATTTCTCATATCATATTTTGTTTCTAGTTGTTACTATCTCTTTACATTGTTTGATCAAATATAGATTTCCTTAGCTGTTATGATTTTTTTCTTAATTATTCGTTTTGTATTTCTTTATACTTCTGTAGATCTTTTTCTTTTATGTTTCCTTCTTTCTTTCATCTGTTAAGTAGTATTGTCTTCTACCATCCACTGTTTTTTCTTCTGTTGTATCAAAACTTTCTTGAGCTGGTTTCAGTAAAGTGTTTTTTATATTTTTATACCACTTTTTATTTACAACCATAATTTGTTTGTCAGTTAGTGTTTTTTGCATATTAAATTCAATTATTTTTTAATTCGTTTTTTTTTTTCGTTTTGTACCATTCTTACATTAATTTTGGTTGTTGTTTTCTGAGTTCAATTCTTTTTAAATTTTATTTTCACGTCAGCCACTAACAGATTGTGGTCTGAGTTAACACATCTGCTTCAGGATAAGTTTTAGTGTGTGTATAGTTTTATATCTGCTATTTACGAGTATAAAGTCTATCTGGTTTCTGACAATGTGGTTTTCTGTATGTTGAAGTGAGACGTCCATGTATATAATCTTCTCTTAGGAAGCTGGAACCAACATATTGGCAATTACCATATTCTTTTTTTTGGCAGAATGCTAATGAGCTACTTTCTCCTCTCTCGTTTCTAGTTCCTAGTCCGAACCGAATCCGTGATTTGCTAACACTTATAATAGCATTAGTTACCACATTTTGATTTTTCCTAAAATGTGAATCAGTCAAAATTATGTATTTATATCATGAATGTGGTTGCTGTGTGAGTCCCTTTCTTTTACCTCGATTAGTAGTATTTCATATTGTGGTGTAAAGATATGGTATAATTTTGCGCTGGATCTTCGTAACTGGCATGCTACTGTAGTATGTTTGTCCAATGAAGTTAAGGTACTTAATATTGTAGGTAGTATCAATTTACATAGTGATTGCTCGGTTGCAAGTAACGAGTAAACAGGGAGGGTAAGGAGTACTGGTGTACGGAAAGAATGAAGAGATATCCATTTTGAAGTCGCTTGTGTAGAATAGATAGTAGAAAGGTTCTATTATAGACTGTGAGATATTGACGAAAAATATGTTGGATTATCAGATTAAGGTGTAATCATGATTTTGAATTGGAGTCGAGTGGTTATTTGGATTTTGCATAGGAATCTAGCTTGCGTAATTTTATACTTTAACTTTAATTTCTGTAATAGAGTGTCCTAGAGTGACTGCTCTCTGACGTTCCCGAGACAATGTTGTTCTCTCCGCAATGATCGAATGTGTCCAATAGTACATTAAAAAATCCTTTGGCACTCTCAAACCGATAGTGAATTGCTGTGCTTCCGCTGTGTCTCGAGGTCACTCCCAGAAGGCTACATGTGCCCGTTTTTTTCTGTTTTTTAATTTATGTTTATGTTACTTTTTATTAACATATTATATTATTGGTGGATGTTCTATGATTATTAGTTATTTTATTTATTCTATTACTTGTACCCCTTTTGCTTAAATCTTATTTCTTGTTACCTTTTAAAATCCCATTTCTGAATGACTTTTGCCGGAATAAGAGCTACCTGGTTTTTGTGACATCCCGTACAAAAAAATCTACCTAAATATTCACAATATCGAAATCGGGATGCGTAATTCGGTGCTACTCGCATGCTACAACCAGCACATCTGTAATTCTGTTTCGCAATGATATCTTTCCTTCTACAACAAAAACATTATAAGATTAAAAAAATTTATACACAATAACATTTTTAGATGATAAAATTAAATCAACGCTGAAACGTATTAAAACTCTTAAACGTTTCAATTCTATTTTCGTGTGACATATCTTATATTATCATAAAATATCATGAAAGTAAATATCATGAAGCTAAGATATCGAGTATGCAACGGTCTATATTATAAACCTTCCATTATATATATGTATATCTATATATATTATATATACTATATATATCTATATCTATTTATATCTCCCTCTCTCTCTTTCTCCTCCCTCTCTATCTCTTCTTTCTCCCTCCCTCTCTCTCTCTAATGGCGCTACAGCTCAAGTCAGATGTCTCCCCCAGCATTCCTTTCCTTGGCTGCTCTCCTCCAGTTATCCACCCTCAACATCTCTTTAGCATCGGTCTTCATTTCGTCTATACACCTCTTCCTTGCTCTTCCTCCTGACCGACGTCCCAACATAGTTACATTAAGCGTTATACTAGGTGTTGTGTAATTATCCATTCTTATAAGGTGACCTGCCTAGCGCAATCTTTGTATTTTTGCATAATTTGCTATAGAAGGTTCTTTGTAATATTAATATAACTTGTGGTTGAATTTTATTCTTCACATCACATTGTTGCAGATCGGTCCCAATATCCTCAATATCTTTATTTCATCCTCCTCCTCCTCTTCGCTGCCGTCCTCAGTTATCTGTACGCTCAGGTATGTGAGCTGTTTTACAACTTTAATATTTGCGTCATCTATTGACACATTTTTGAAGTTTCATATTTCATACATACAGGGTGGACGAAAAGTCGCTTTACCGAAAACAATTAAAAAAAATCAATTTTAAAAATATAATTTATTTCAACAAATGTTCAAATTGTTTACCTTCTTGTTCAGTATATACATTACAGCGTTTGATGACTGAATTACAGATTGCTCTGAACAAACATGTTTGTATGTGTAATGAAAGAATCTCGGCTTCGATGTATTCCTTTAATTTTTCCGATGTTTTCGGTTTTCGCTAACACACATTTTTTATGAGGCCACACAAAGAAAAATTGCATGGTGTTAGGTCACATGACCTTCCCATGTCCAATCCATTCCTGAAAGGTATTGTTTAAAAAATCTCCTACTTATAAACCATAGTGTGGTGGTGCCCCATCTTGCTGCCAGATGAAAGAAATGTTTTCATAAGTTAGATTTTTTGCAGATATGTAATTACCACCACTCTTAACATATCAAGGCATTTTTTAGCTGTTACTGTCCCATCAAAAAATAAGGTCCTACAATCCCTCTACTCCAAATTCCTGCCCAAACTGGAACACCTGGAAGATTTAACTCTTTCTAAAACCGCATGGGGATTACTGTTACTTCAATAAACAGAATTATGTTGATTAACCTTCCATTTAACTTATATATGGCTTCACCGGTCCACAAAATCCGATCGTCAAAATTATTTTCAACTTCAGACATAATTACGAACGATTATGAAAATTCCACTTTCCTGTCAAAATCATCTTCATGTAAAGCATGCAGAAGTCGTGGGCGGTAGCTTCTCAATTTGAACTCCCTCATTATATCTTGAAGACTCATGTCTTCAAGGCATAAGTGGCATGTCCCGTTCTGAAGTCTGTCTTCTGGTAGATACGGTGGAATTTTCAACAACACTTTCCGCAATTAACTGTAGATTTGCTTCTGAACGTGAAGTGCGTGGACACCACATCGAGGTAAATCGACAATATTGACAGTGCTCTAAAATCTCTTGTTTAAATTAAATAAGGCCTAATTTAAATAATTTTTTCACAACAGCGATGTTTTTTATAATGGCGGCGTAGCCTACGCCTACACTAAGCCATTGCATTCATTATTTTCTTCATCATCATTCAGCCCATACTCGTCCACTGCTGAACATAGGCCTCCCGTAGTTCACCCCCACAAATTTCTGTCCTGAGCCGCCTGCATCCAATTTTGATGTGTCCGTTTCAGGTCATCCGTCCATCTTGTTGGTGGTCGTCCTCTATTCCTAAAGGCATCTTGTCTGGGTCTCCACTCAAGAATGCGTTTTTGTCCATCTGCCGTCCTTCGTTCTCGCGACGTGCCCTGCCCAGTTCCATTTTAAGGTTGATATTCTTTTGATTGCGTCGGTTACTCCCGATCTACGGCGCAATTCTGTGTTGGGTATTCGGTCTCTCAGGGTTAATCCCAACATGGACCGTTCCATTGCCCTCTGTGTTGTTCGAATTTTGTTTGCGGACGTCTTAGTAAGTGTTAGCGTCTCCGCACCATAGGTTAGAACCGGCAGCACACATTGATCGAACACTTTTCTCTTCAAGCAGATGGGAAGAGCTGATTGGAAAACATCTCTTAGCTTTCCATAAGCTGCCCATGTCAACCCTATTCTACGTATTAGTTCATTGGTCTGGTTATCTCTACTTAAGCGAATTTCGTGTCCCAGATATTTGTATGCTGATGTTTGTTCTATACTTGTTCCAGCTATGGTTGATGTTCTCACTCAGAACAAGGTTTGTCATCACTTGTGTTTTTGAGTTATTGATCTTTAAACCCACTTGTGTAGAGGCATGGTAGAGTCTTTCGCACATTTCGATGGCATGGTCTATGCGGTCTGTTATCAGGACTATATCGTCCGCGAACCTGAGGTGACTAAGCTGCTCTCCATTTATGTTTATGCCCTTTTCGTCTAGGTTTGCACGCTTACACATGTATTCCAATAATGTTGTAAACAGTTTTGGTGAAATGGTGTCGCCCTGGCGAACTCCACGATGAATGTTGAACTTGTGTGTATCTTCATGGAGTCTGACGCATGCCGTGGCATTATCATAGATATTTTTGATGACAGTGGTTGTAGCGGTGATCTATTCGGCACTCTTTTAAAGCTTCTAGCATTTTCTGGTGGTTTACTGTGTCGAATGCTTTCTCATAATCCACAAATATTAGGTACGAGGGGTTTATTGTACTCTATACATTTTTCGATGAGGCTTTTAATAACTTGTAGATGGTCGTTTGTGCCGAAGCCTGACCTGAATCCTGCCTGTTCGCATGATTGGTAAAAGTCCATTTTGTTCGAAAGTCTGTTTGTTATGACTTTTGTAAAAAGCTTGTATATGTGTGAGATGAGGCTGATTGGTCTATAGTTTACGAGATTTGTTAAATCTCCTTTCTTAAACATTAGAACGATCACTGCATTTTGCCATTGTGATGGTGTTGTTCCTCTTTCAAGGCATTCTGTGAAAAGTATGGAAAGCATTTGTATCAGTTTCTCGCCTCCTAATTTTATGGCTTCGGCAACGACCCCGTCGTCGCCAGGTGACTTATTATTTTTCATTTGTAGGAGAGCTTTTTTGATTTCATCAACAGTAACATCTGGTATGTCTTCCGAGCCCTGGTTTAGAACCTTTGGTATGTTGTCAGTTGGAACATTTTCTTCTGTTTTGCTGTAGAGTTCGCTGTAAAATTGTCCGACAGTTTGTAGAATTTCCTGTTTATCTGTTATTATTTCGCCCTTTGTGTTTTTCAGTTTGTAAATATTTTTCTTTCCTATTTGCTGTTTCCTTCTGAAGACTTTTAAACTTTTGTTCTCTTCTATGACTTTTGATATCTCTCTGGTGTTGTAGTCTCTTATATCTTTTCTGATGTTCTTAGTGATTTGTTTGTTTAGTTGTGTCTCATTTTTGTTAGATTGGTTCTGTATTTATCTGTTAGTTGTCTTCTTTCCTCTAATAGAGTTTTCGTGCTTCGACTTAGTTTTTCTTCGTCTTTTTGGTTTTTTGGGCAACATTTTTCTTGTGCTTGTTTCAGAGCTTTGACTATTTTCTGGTTTAGTTGTTCGATGTTTATGTTTTCTGTTTCTTCGTTTTGTAATTTTTCTTCGACCGTACGTTCAAACAGTTTTGCATTTTCAGGTGGTACCCATCTTCTAACATTTGGTTTAGGAACAAGCTTCATTCTTTCTTTTTTAACGTTAAGCATTACTTTTGTTCTTATCATCCTATGGTCGCTGCCAGCAGAGAACTTGTTGAGTACTTCCACGTCTTGTATTATATATTTTTTATCTGTAATTATAAGTCGATTTCGTTTTTGACGGCGCCATCAGGGCTTATCCAAGTCCATTTGTTTTGGGGTTTCTTTTTAAAGAAAGAGTTCATTTGAAACATGCATTGATGATGTAGAAAGTTTAAAAGCATGTCCCCTCTTGCGTTTCTTGCCCCGTATCCGTACTTTCCTAACGCGATCTCCGCTTGGTCTTGTTTGAATCCGAGTTTTGCGTTGAAGTCGCCCATGAGAACAGTATAGTGTGTTCGTGTTCTTTGTTGTGCCTCTGCTACATCCTCATAGAATTTTTTCAACTTCTTCATCTGTGTGTCCAGTTGTCGGGGCGTAGACCTGTATAACTTTTAAACTATAACGAGAGTTTAGTTTTAATATCAATAGGATGACCCTCGTGCTTATGGTCTCGATTTTCGTTATGTTGGGTATGTGTTTTTTATGTACAATGATCCCGATTCCACCGCTGGATGAATGTTCCTCTCCTCTGTAGTGGAACAGGTGTCCTGATTTCAATGTTTGTTGTTCTTCTCCTCTCCTTCTAATTTCACTAAGTCCCATTACATCCCATTTTATTGTTTTTAATTCGTTTTCTAGTTCTGTTAGTTTATGATCGGTTGAGAGGGTTCTTATATTATAGGATGCAAGATGCAGTATTCTTGTGCAGTTTAGCCGTCTTGAGTGGTAGCCTGGTCCATCCCGGGTATTCTTAGCACCCTCTGCTCTTAATCTTTTCTGTCCGCTACCTTGGTCAGAGATTTTTGAGCTGCCGGGGGACTGAGGGCCGTGTTTGGTTTGTGTTTTGCATGTTTACGGGGGGTTTGGCCTTAAAACGCCACGCTGGCCAGACGTGTTGGCGAGTTGGGGGAGGATATAGGGAAGGAATTTGGGGTTTGGGTAGGATAATATTGGGGTTTGGGCCTGGTTTCCCCTAAGTAGGGAGTAGAGGGAAAACCAGGAGCTCGCGTGGGCAGGGGCGCTACCTCCCTGAAGTAAGTCTACCCTCTATCGGGATCATAGAGGGGTACCTACCCGCTACACATTATTTTCTTATCAAGTTATAAATATATTCTAATATTTTGAAAATGGCACTATTTTCAATAAAGCGACTTTTCGGCCACCCTGTATATTAAATACAGTTGGAGCCAGTTCATATCATTGATTTAGCACCTTAGTTATCTAAATTTGTTTTGGACTCGTACTTAAGCTTGTGTGAGTCATTTTGGCTTGAACTAATTTTACCAGTTTCCTTGGTATACCAAATTCTTGCATAATTTACTCAATCTCCTGTTTCTGATCCACGTAAATACCTTATAGTTCACATAGAGTACGGACGGGCCTCTACAATTTTTAATAGCTGAGGTTGTCTCCCTTCTTGTAGATTGGGGCATAAAACGGCTTTTTTAGCAGTTTAAGCTGATATGTTGTCAATAGCTGACGCTTAATTAATTATTTCCTCTTGTCTTGTGGGTGGGTATGTTAATTGAATACTCTGGTTCTGATCTTCTGTTATCTCAAAATCCGCCACTGATGTATGTTTTTGTAGTTGCTCTGTTAACAGATCCTCAAAATAGTTTTTCCGATCTGCTTTGATTGCTGCATCATCTGTTCTTCACTATTGCTAAAAATATTAGTGCGTGGTTTATGTCACTCTCTGTAGGCGAGACAATGAATCAGTAAAAAGCCCATTGCATTATAAAAAAAGGAAAATGCATTTTCCAAAATGCATTTCGAAGTGATGAAAAATGATAAACTTGTAATTCGGAACTAATTGACGGAAATGAGTTCAATGTTACTACTCGAGGTTTTGGGTTCACTGAACACGAATATCATGACGGTAATGGCCCCCGAAGTACCTGGTGCACCTGGGCCCCGTCTTCTACAGTTTTGTAGAAACTTTATACAAAAGCAGTGCAAACTCGTCACTCGTGGGGTTTTGGGGTTGTGGAACCCTAATATTATGTCGGCGATGGTCTTTGAGGCACCTGGTGAGCACGACGGGCGTCTTCTCCTTTAGTTTGATGGAAATTCGATATAAAATCAGTGCACACTCGTTACTCGGGGATTTTTTGGGACGCTAATCACGAATATCATGACGGTGATGGTCTCCGATGATGAATTCAATATCGACACATACCATCTTTTCGTAGATTTTAAATCGGCCTATGATAGTGACCTAAGAAATAAATTGTATGAAGCCATGATGAATTCATTCATGGCTTCCCGATGGAAGCCCGATAAACTGATAAGATTGGGTAAGGCTACAATGCGTAAAGTTGCTTGCAAAGTCGAAATACAAGGCGAACAATCACAGGCATTTGAAACGCATGTTGGGCTGCGACAGGGAGATGCGCTGGCGTGTCTCCTTTTCAACATAGCTCTGGAAAAGGCGGTCAGGGATGCCCAAATAGACAACAGATGAAACATTTTTAATAAATTATCCCAAGTTTTGGCATATGCAGATGACGTTGACCTAGTTGCTCGCACAACACGCAAACTAGAAGAAATGTATACCACCTTGTCAAATTCCTCAAAAATATGGGCCTGCAAGTAAATGAGGAGAAAACTAAGATAATGGCATCAACACCCAACAATAGAGCCAGAAACATCGGTCACCAATTCACTGTTGATAACTCTACCTTTGAAGTGGTGGACAAATTCACATACTTAGGCTCCCTGATCACCAAGGAGAACGTCATGACGGAAGAAATCAAGCGAAGAATAATCCTAGCAAACAAATGCTATTTTGGATTGAGTAGACATATGAGAAGCAGAAACAAGCCAAAAAACAAAAATAACCATATACAAAACCCTTATACAACCAGTGTTGACATATGGATCGGAGACATGGACCATTTCAAGGCAGATGAAAACCTCCTGCTTATATTTGAACGAAGGATCCTGAGAAGAATATTCGGTGGCATCTGTGAAAATGGTGTTTGGAGAAGGAGGTACAACTACGAGATATATCACAGATATAAATATATATTTGGTGGTAAAGACGTAGTATCTCTATAAAAATACGAAGGGGCAGGACATCTGGCAAGATCACAGCAGAACAACCCACCTAGAAGAATCCTTATGTCACAACCTGTGGGAAGTAGAAGTAGGGGTAGGCCAAAACTCAGAATGAGGGATGGTGTAGATGAGGATGGTAGAAAAATAGGCGCAGCAAACTGGCAACAGTTGGCAATGATAGAACTGACTGGGTTCTAGGTCCTTTTTTTCAGTAGGACACTGAATGTGATAATTGTAATATTAAAGAACTTTGATTTAATTTGTAATTTTATTCGCCTTCCAACTTATTTTATTTAAATTAAATATTGTTAAGATTATTCTTCCCTACCTTCTTATATGCCAATATACGGCATGTAAACTGTACAAACACAAACTGTTTTTAAACAACGAGATTGACATTACTATATATTATTAACAAACATTATTAATAAGTTTAAGTTGAATTAAGAATATATAATTTTTAAAACCGAATGAAACGCTACTTACATTGGAGTTGGATGTAAAGTAAAAATTATCTGTGCTCTAGGTGGAGCCCATTCTTCAGTACCTCTTAAAGGAGTTATGTGCTCATCAGCACTGTCGGGACTGACGGGCCAACTCTTCGGTAATGGTAATAATGCCTGAGGAGCATCTTTTTCGGAAACAAGCCATTCCAAATCAGAAGCTCTAAAAATAATAGTTTAAAATTGCATAATATAAGAAAACTGTATAAGACTAACAATAAATAGTCCTTGTTAGCAAATAAGTTATAAAAACTTTCTTTTTCTTCAGTCAGATATACGCTTTACTTATTCTCATTAGTTTCAAAGTATATGAAACACTGTTTTAGTATTCACTGTATAATAACACAGTAATAAACCTCCTGCTTTAGGTGCCGTCTCCATCAGTGTAGCTTGGCAACAATTTCGGTGAACTGTGTATGGTTTTTTTGCCGTTTTCTGGAGTGTATGTGAACTGAGTGCTGTCCAATCACGGATTTTGTTCAGCCAGAAACACTGCCTACTGTTAGGTCCTCTGCGGCCCTCTATTTTTTCTTCTATGATTAGTTTTGAAAGCTTATATACGTGGTGCCGAAATAAATATCGTAGCTATGCGGATGCGGCATTTGTAATCTTGATTAATGTTAACAGTTCTCTGTTTTTTTCTCACTGCTCAAAATTTCGTCACTTATGACGTGATCCAGTCAGGATATTTTAAACATACGTTGGTATTTCCTGATTTCGGCCTCAAGACGATCTGTCATTGTTGTCTAGATCTTTTGCATCTAGAATTTTCATTAGCTCACTTCGTGCCTCTGAGCACTGCATTTTTGTAGGAGGATTGGCAGGTTGAACAACGTTTCTCTGGTCCCACGGCTACTGCTTATATCGGTGTCAAATTTTTTATGCAGTTTGCGATATATGATTCTTAGATATAATTTTAGGGTTTGGCTCATCATCGCATCAGACGAAAATGTTCGCATTTGAGGGACATTCGATTTTTTCAGGATAGGTAGTTCTCCTGCTTGGTTTTATTTATAGGTTTTAAAATTTCTGAGTATGTTGGTTTGGTTATGCTGGTTTCATATTTTTGATTTCTTTTAAGTACATCAGATGTTTAATATTCTTTTTTATCGTATTTTTTATTGTATTTCATATTATATTTATTATTGTACTTTGATATGAATATTAAACTCAACAGTTTTCCGGGCTAAATCGCGTTGTCTCAGTCTCCCTACCCCAGAAACTACTACACTGATCACCAATCAATGCACTACTGCCGCTGGGAATAGAGGACGGGCCATTTATACTGTCGATGGTGCCGTAGTTTGGGTGGAGGTTGGTCGGATAAGAGATAAAAGTTTTTGTTGGGGGCTAAATATTGTCTTTAATTATTCCTCTTAAGTAAAGAATTTAGCTTAGAATTCTGATTCTTGCCAAAAGTCCCCCCTTGTATCTTTTGAACAGTTAGACTGAAATTTGCTGGGAAGAAATAAGCGGATGTAGGCTTCTCAACTAGTCATAGCAGGTGATGTAATAGTCATCAATGACATTACAGAGCCACTGAGACCGATAATTTTACATGAGACCTTATGGCAAGTAATAATTCGTTTAAAAGGTATTGAAATACTTATTCAATCATACTGATTTTGTTTGTATTTAAGCTGATTTTGATAAATAAATTAAATAAATACTATTGCTAATCTCTTAGTCATACTCGTTCAAACGTATCGGGGGAAATTGTGCTACATTCTTCAACAATTCGTTGTTTCAAAATGTCCATACTGTCGGGTGCTGTGGCGTAAATCTTAGATATCAAGTATCCCCATAGAAAAAAATCTAATGGTGTGAGATCAAGTGACCGAGTTGGCCATTTTGTCGAATCTCATCTTTCAATCCATCTATTATGATATTTCTCATCTAGGTAACGTCTTACTTCACCACAATAGTGTGCAGGAGTACCATCTTGTTGAAACGTTATTTCCAAGTTGCCGAATTTATCCGGATTATCTTCCAGAATTTAGAGAATTAACGGCTTAATTGCGTTTTGTAACACCTCCAGATATACTTGACCGGTTAAGTTGGCATTGAGAAAAAACAGGCCCAACTATGTGGTTTCCAAAATACCCGCCCAAACTCCAATACCTTACATTGTGTGTGTTAACATTTCCATTAAGGGAAAAAGTACTTTCGTCATTAAAACAAATTGTTTTTATGTAATCTGGCCGTTGGTTAATTTGATTGGACATATTTTCAGAGAATTTTCTAGTCTTTGGTCAGGGTCATAATCTGAATGTTGGTGCACAATTTTTAATTTGTATGGATGAAATTTGTTTTTAGTCTGTCTGTTTTTGGTACTGTCCTTTGACTAATTCCACAGATAGACGAACTTGGGCTGTAGAAGAAGTAGGGTTCACTACGTTTCTGTAATTATGTTATTTTTTTGTCATTAATAACCGGTGGTCGACCAGATCGTTTGACATCTTGAACACTACCTGTTTCTTGAAACTTCAGAAAAAGCTCCCTCAAATAAGTCCTTGATATAGGGCGATCGGGGTACCTCTCATTAAAAGACGTTTCGCTGCATGGAAATTGTTTCTACATTCACTAATTATTAAGAGAACTGCTATTTTGTCGGCTATAGTACGTACCATTCTGCCTATGTAAACATTCAAACGTCCGGTTAAACAACAATTAAACTAAATATTTAAGGTATAACCACATTTTTATTATTTAATTACGAAACTATTATTTTAGTAGTTATTTCATTTATTCATCAAAATCAGTTTAAATCCAAACAAAATTATTATATAAATATTCAAGGTATAAACACATATTTATTATTTAAGACTGTTTTAGCAAATAAAGCACACTGCGATTTGAAATGAGTAAGTGATACGGAAATGGGCTCTTATGGGCACTTACTTTTCTACACTGCTTACGCCAGACCATCTTTACTCAGTGGCGCCGGCCGACGGGTAGTTTAATGACAACAAATGCATTATAGTTTATTCGTCTTCCGGTTTGGACCGTGTCATTTGTGAGTGACCCAAAAGTGGGTTCATCTCGACGTTTCGCTACAATTGTATGTAGCTTCTTCAGGAGAACAAAGAAAAGGAAAATCAAAAGACAGGAAGATGGGTAGTTAGCAACGGTAACTCAGTTACTCAACGCAACTAAGAGGCGAATACTAACTACCAAGATGGGCATTTGGTCACAGTAACTCAACTACTTAACGCAGCCAGAGGTGAAAACCAAATGCCAGAACAGGGATTCACGTCCAACAGCTCAGAACACTAACGCGTCGAGAGGCGGGAAGTGAATCCGGATTCACTCGGCGGGGAGAGAATCCGTGAATCCGGAGGATTCACTCCCCGCCTCTCGACGCGTTAGTGTTCTGAGCTGTTGGACGTGAATCCCTGTCCTGGCATTTGGTTTTCACCTCTGGCTGCGTTAAGTAGTTGAGTTACTGTGACCAAATGCCCATCTTGGTAGTTAGTATTCGCCTCTGGTTGCGTTGAGTAACTGAGTTACCGTTGCTAACTACCCATCTTCCTGTCTTTTGATTTTCTTTTTCTTTGTTCTCCTGAAGAAGCTACATACAATTGTAGCGAAACGTCGAGATGAACCCACTTTTGGGTCACTCACAAATGACACGGTCCAAACCCGGAAGACGAATAAACTATAATTCTGACTCTGGCCGTGGAAGCCTACGATTTCATTTAACAAATGCATTATTCTCCATTCAAATTAGTTTTAACACAAACTAACGAACATGAAATGATGATTAGTATGAAACTAAGCGCCAATGATGAGTAACACGTTTCAGTATTAGATTTTAGTATTTTTTAGCAATTTTCTTCAAAGTTGGAACACGTTTTTTTCGATTATTACAGGACACAGAAAGGTGAAAAAAATCAACGATTACAGAAAAAAAAACTCTTTTAAGTAATGAGCGTAAAAAGTTTGGTTATAATAGAACGTTAAACAGTATAATCCAATTTTTCATTCATCCATCCAATCCAAGAAAACACTGTCGCTAGGTTTCGGTGCACCGATAAAACAGCCTTAATTGCGAACCTATAATTTTAGCAGTTAATTCATTTATTCATCAAAATCAGCATAAATCCTAACAAAATAAGTATTTTTAGCACTTGTCACAAGGAACCATTTAAAATTATCGGTCACACTCTATAACGTCATCTATCAGTATTACGTTACCTTTTATGATTAGTTGGGAAGCCTACGTCCATTTATTTCCTCCCTCCAAATTTCACTATTTTAAGTATGACCGTTCAAAAGATCCGAGAGGGAGGAACTTTTGGCTAGCACTGTATATTTAAAGGTAAACTATGGTACAATTTTAAATCCTTACCTCGGTAACTGTTTATCACTAAATTTACTAATAAGCGAGAGAGCAACTCCTTCTGCAGAGAGTATGTCTGAAGAACCATCAGGAGCACCACGAATATTTCTCCTCATAAGATCTGCTTCAGAGTAGAGAGATGCCATAGACATAGAGAGACCTGAGTTTTCCTCCAAATTCGAAGTTTCATTTATTTCGAGTTCTTCTACATAATCGGAGCTAGAATCATCTGTTCCAGAGGCCGTTGAAGAACAAGGGCTTACCGTGGTGGTTGCTGAAAAACAGAAAGGTAAAAATACTCAAGTATATCGACGATTAAATTTGCAAACATTGTTGGCTAATTTTTCGAAATACCTACAAAATCAATGTTTGTTTAAAAACTGCATTTTCTAATTTGATGACGCTGATTCGATTAAACGAGTCTGTTAAAAATGTTTGTGATCTAGTTCCTAAAGCCCAAAATATTGACAGTCAAAAAATAGGTTTGTTCTTTAAAAACAATCCGGTCTTTAAATGCTCTTGAGTGGGCTAGAACGTAAACGTTAAAGTCAAGCTGGACCTAAAATAGGTTTTAGGTTCTAAAAGGACCTAAAGGCTAAAGGCTAAAGGTTTAGGACCTAAAAGCTATGCTTCCAATACATGCTAAGAATGCCGGTATTCATGCAGAGCGGCAAATAAACAAATACATGTTAACGAATTACGAAGAGATTTGAAAGAGAAATCAAGAAACCTGGGAGCAAATTAATATGAGACGATCAACTGCATACACGCATTACAAGTACTGATCAAGAAAAATCGAACAATAATGCAACTTTTAGAGAAATCTATATATCAATTAAGAAGTGACCTGACTCAACATGCTCCCAAAGAATAAATTAATATATATTTACTTACTATCAGTTTTGCCATCGCTCATCAAACTACAAGACAATGATTTTTTCTGCTTCTCCAAAACTCGTTTAGTTCTCCTTAGCCTAATCTTCTGTTTCAAATCCATTATCTCCGGATCACTCTCATCCATCTGTTCTTCCGCTAATCTAAAACTTTTCTTACATCTAATTTGTTCCATAGCAGAAATAATAGCTTCTGAGACACTAAAATGTGCATTCTCTCGATCCAACTCTGCATTGGCTCTAGCAAATTGACTAGAAGTTAAAAAAGACATTAAGCTTTGGCCTTTGACTGGTTTGGGAAAGTAGCCTGTCGCCATAGGAAGGACGCTCATTCCACCATCTTCGATGAATGTTTTTCTTGGTAACTTTTTGTAATCTTTTTCACCAGACATAGGCAAAAATGAGTCTACCATTGACAACGGAGATTGCGATAAACTAAGGGGTGATTTTGTTTTCATATCAGATGTTGATGCGGTAGAACTAATTAATTCATCGTTTATTAACGTGGTTCCACTACTTTGTGAGCTGCTTAGTGAGGGTGTGTATTCAACTATGTTTAAATTATCTATCAAAACGTGTTTTAATTCAGAAGTTTTCGGTAAAGTATTTTGTTTTATTTTCTTGGAGTTGGACTTTCGGGAATGAGGTTGTAAGGTTTTGTAATCCACCTATAAACAATAAATATGATTTTGTAAATGAAAAAATATTTACTGCGAATTTTAATATATGTGACAGGTGACGGTTAAAGCAATTTTTACATATTAAGAAAATATTTCATTTTGGTATAGATTTTTTTCAAATTAACATATCGTGAGAAAAACTTTTAAATTAGAAAACAATCTATATTTAATGAATAGCTTCTTCTATAAGAAGATCCATAGAAGATGGACTTGGAAGAGCCCCGATGGTAAGACAAAAAATGAGATCGACTTCATCATCACTGACAAAAAACATATAGTCAAAGATGTTACAGTCTTAAATCAATTTTCGGTTGCAAGTGATCATAGAATGGTCCGAGCAACTGTAGAAATCAATATTAAGCAAGAAAGACTGAAGATGATAAAAAGTAAAAAATTCAAACCTTGGATGCGCCCAACGAATGACCTTGACTTTGAAAAATATATCACCAGTAACTTACTCAGAAATACAACAGGAGAAGACGTTAATAACCTAAACGAAGAAATAGTAGATACATTAACACAAGCTCAGGAAAAATTTGGCCCTAAACATGGAAAAGAACAAAAAATTAGTAAAGAAACGAAACAAAAAATGGAAGATCCTAGAATGCTGAGAAGTCAAGGAAATGTTGACTCACAAGATATAAACAGCATCAATAAGGAAATCTCTAAAGCCATCAGACGGGATATTAGAAAATACAACAACGAGAAAATTATAAAAACTATAGAAGACAACAAAAGCATGAAAGCATTGAGGAGAAAATTGGAAAATGGCAAAAAAAGACATCTTCCAACTTAAAGACAAAAATGGAAATATTATCTTAGATAGACCAAGCATATTACATATATGGAAAGTTTCTATGAAACATTATATAAAAGTCAAGTTATTCCAGAGCTCATCGAACAACCAATACAAAAGGTACATAATGTAGGATCGGAGGATATACCAAATATATCACGAGAGGAAATTCAACATGCCCTCAAAAATATGAAAAATAATAGAGCTCCGGGGGAAGATGGTGTAGTCATTGAGACAATTAAACTAGGAGGTCCACTTTTGATGTCCCGAATCCAAACACTTTTTAATCTATGTCTGCATAGTGAAAACATTCCAAGTAAATGGAAGAATTCGGTTACAATCCTCCTTCACAAAAAAGGGGATAAATTAGATCTCGACAACTATAGGCCAATTAGTTTGCTTAACCACCTATACAAGCTCTTTACTCGAATACTGACAAACATATTAGAAGCAAAACTCGATTTCTATCAATCAGCAGAACAGGCAGGATTTCGAGCGGGACACGGAACAAACGACCATTTGCAATGCCTTAAAACTCTAGTTGAAAAGTCTATCGAATATAACAGACCCCTTGCTCTTATCTTTGTCGACTTCCACAAAGCATTTGCCACAGTCGAAACAGTTGCTATCTTAAAAGCACTATCAGAATGCAGAATAGATCACAGGTATGCAAATATTATTCGAAATATATACGAAAATGCGACAACAACCGTTAACCTCCACTGCATGACTGATAAGATAAAAATTGGCAGAGGAGTGCGGCAGGGAGATACCTTGTCGCCAAAACTATTTATAACAGTTATGGAGTACGCATTTAAACGGCTAGAGTGGGAATCAAAGGGTATTAGCATCGATGGAAAGATATTCAATCATCTCAGATATGTCGATGATATTGTTCTCATAACAGACAACTTAGGAGAAGCCAGAGTTATGCTACAACAACTACAGCAAGTAACCCAGAAAGTCTGTTTAAAGATAAACTATGGAAATACAAAAATGATTGCCAACCTCGTCCCCAATGAGCTAATAGAAATCGAAAAATCGCCCATAGAACTTGTGGAAAAATATATGTATTTGGGTCACGAAATAAGGTTAACGCGAGATAACCAAACATGCGAGCTACTCAGAAGAATAAGTCTGGGTTGGGCTGCATTCGGAAAAATGAGAAACGTATTTAAAACAAATATACTGATCCATTTAAAAAGAAAAGCTTTTTACCAGTGCGTTCTACCAGTCCTCACATACGGAGCAGAAACCTTAACTCTCACAAAAACATCAGCCGAAAATTAAGAAGGACACAACGAAAGATGGAGAGATCATGCTTGGAATAAGCTTAAGAGATATAATAAGAAACGAAGAAGTTCGCAGACGAACCGGAGTGGAAGACATTATTGAACATATTACAAGGCAAAAATGGAGATGAGCAGGACATGTTGCAAGAATGAAAGACGACAGTTGGACAAAAAAATTGCTTGAGTGGAGACCACGGGCTGACAAGCGAAGCCAAGGAAGACCCCCAACGCGATGGACCGACGACCTCAAAAGAATCGTGACCAATTGGATAGCAGAGGCGCAGAACAAAAGCAGATGGAAAAATCTAGAGGAGGCCTATGTTCAACAATGGACAACTCAGGGCTGATTGATGATGATGATGATGAGAAAAACCTATTTATTTATGTTTTAATTTATTTAGTATTTTGTTCAATTTACAGTTTTCCACATATCTTTCTATATTTCTGAATCGGTTTCGGGGACTAAGTAAATGCAGTGGCATTGCTTTAAAAGAAAAAAAAATATTTATTTAACATGTGCGAAGTACCTACATATAGGTCACTATAAGAGTAGCAAAAGGTTATCCTCAAGGATAATCTCTACTTTAGTCGACAGTGAATGACGATCTTTTAACAAAACTCAAATAGAAGGATTTCAACATTCCTAATACAAGGATATTGGTTTCATTTATAAATAGGATGAATTAACAAGTCAACTTCCGACCATGAATGGAACAACACCATCATCCTCCGAAGAGGTTAAGTAGCTCGGAATTATCCTTGAAAGAAAACCTACAGTACATTCAACCAACTTGCATCTCTAAACGATTAACGGAATTTGCAGAAAACCTTTCGTTATAAAGGCACGGTAAACTTTATTGGTGTTCTACATAATGTTTAATACGTGTCTTGTCATTAACTGGTTGTTAATAGTTTTGCATATTTTGTTACATTTTTTAATAGATAGTATTCTTGCATAATGTTATTTAACGTAAATTTCTTTCACCTACTTGTATAATTTTTTAATAGTTTTAATTTACATTCAAAGTAGATATGCAAAGTACCTACAAAAATATCACTTTTAATTTTTGTTAAAAAATACTTCAGAGTAAACTAGAAAATTTTGTCAATTTAAATAGTAGTGGTTAGATTGACCATATGTCTGTTAGAGCAGGGTTTCCCAATTTTTTTGGTCTCGGAACCCTAATTGACGATATTTTTTTGCGCAACCCTATGTTGATAAATAAAGAAATTACCTTCTAGTTTGAATATTTTTCATGAAAGACTTTAAAAGAAGAAAGAATTTATGAATGAAAAATAATATTATAAGAAATACAAAATATTTATTATACAAAGTTAAATACAATTAAGTAAGTAACTATAACTATTTCAATGTGAAGAATGAAATTTTTTCAAGCATTTTCTTATTCTTCTTCCTCTTTTGGCATCATAACCCTGGATGGGTCTTTGCATGTCTGGCTATGCCCTTCCATTCAAATCTCTCTTGTGCCCTTCTTCTCCATTGACTTATGTTCATCGTTTTCAGGTCGTCTTCCACGTCATCCAACCATCTCGCTCTGGGCCTTCCTTTTTTTCGCCTGCCTATGGGCTTCCATTGTAACATTTTCTTTGTTGTTTTGCATCGTTTTGTCTCTGCACATGTCCCAGCCATGACAGTCTTTGACTTTTCACAAATCTTACAATGTCATACCCTTCATTTAACTCATTAACCTCGTCGTTTCTCCTTAGTCTCCATGTGCCATCTTCCTCTTGTACCGGGCCATATACTTTCCTCAGTATTTTTCTCTCGAATGTCCTGAGTTGGGCTTCATCTTTTTTCGTCGTTACCCAAGTTTCACAGCCATAGGATACTACGGGTCTAATCAGTGTTCTGTAGATAGTCATTTTGGTACTTTTGTCTAATAATTTCGCTACTTACGGAGTTCTTCTGATTGATTTCTGTGCCGAGATATGTAAAGGCATCCACTCGTTCGATAGTATAGTTGTCTTTGTGATATTATTTTCATTGTCAGTTATTCTTTTGACTGTCATATACTTCGTTTTTGCTTCGTTTATTTTGAGACCTCTTTTTCTTGCTTCAGGATCAATTTGTTTGAACACTTCCATTAGTCGTAGCATATTCCTACTAATGATGGCTACATCGTCTGCATATGCAGTAATTTGCACTGATTTGGTGTTTATATGGCCGGTTATATTGGTTTTTCTGATGACTGCCTCAAGAACTAGGTTGAATAGCATGGTTGATAGGGCTATCTCCCTGTCTTACTCCCATGGTGATGTTAAACAGGGGAGTCAGTTCTCCATCTACTCTGACTGCGGCTTTTGAACCCTGCAACGTAATTTTTATGAGGCTGATGTATTTCTTAGGTATACCTAGATTATACTAAGTCTTCCAGCATTCTGTCTCTTTTCACACTATCAAAAGCTTGTTTAAAGTCTATATACATATTATATAGGTCTATGTAGTATTCATAAGCTTTTTCTTGTATCGTTCTTAGTACGAATATGTTATCTGTAGTGGCTCTATTTGGTCTGAATTCATTTTGATAATCACCAATTATATTTTCGGAGTATTCTAATAATCTATTGTAGATTATACCAGAAAGAATTTTGTATATAACATTTAGCAATGTAATTGGCCTATAATTCAGGCATTCCCTCTTATCTCCTTTTTTATATATTGGCTGTATGAGGCCAACTGTCCATTCCTCTGGCATTTGCTCCTTCGTCCATATTAATTTTATTAGGTAACGGATTCTTTCCCAGAGTTCGGATCCTCCATGCTTTAATAATTCTGCCGAAATTCCGTTCGTTCCTGGTGCTTTAATGTTTTTTAGTTTATTTATTATCTGAACTACTTCTTCATAACTCAGATTTTCGATGTGCAGCTCTGCCGTATAATATATTGTCTCGTTCTGATCATTTTCGTTGTCTGCATTTAGATTTTCTTCGAAATATTGTTTCCATCTCATTATAATTTTTTGCTTCTCTGTTAGTAGTTCTCCGTCCTTGTCTTTGCATATCGTTAGTTTTGGTCTAAATGACTGTGTGCTTTCTTTTATGCATTTATAGAATTTTCTGCTTTCGCGTCTGTTGTTATGCTATACGATTTCTTGTACTTGTTTTTTCATAGCCTCTCTTCTTTCTTCTGCAAATTTTCTTATAATAGTATTAAAATTAGGCTTAATGTCTGACAATTGAATACGAAGATCCAAGCTGCATACAGCCTATTTCTGAACTTGTTTTTGGTATAAGCGTAAGCTGAAACACCCGTCTCGCATCGTAAGTCGTCACAAAAGAAAATAGAACCATGGTAGCTTTCTCAACGATTGCGGGGTATTCATCTTTAAGTGCAATCCAAAAGTCGTTCAGATTAGAACATTCTGATTCGAATTTTTGTTTTAGAAGGGATGAACACTTAATGTGGATCAAATTCTTATACTCTGGCATAGTTATTTAACTGTCGGACGGACGCGGAACCCCTGCATACCTTCTACGGAACCCCAGGGTTCCGCGGACCACCATTTAGGAACCGCTGTGTTAGAGTGTGCAGTTTTTGAGACGTCTGCGATTTCGGGTTAAAGTTAGCGTTTTGGTAAATATATTTAACTTTTTATTTTCAAATTAAAATACTTAACTTCATCCAGTTGGCGCTACAGCCCTTCGTGAGCCTTGGCCTGCTTCAAAACATTCTTCCATCCTTCCTTATCGAGTGTCTGTCTTCTCCAGCCCCTCACTCCAATCTCCCTCAGATCTTCCTGTACATCGTCCAGATATCTGAGTTTAGGTCGCCCCCTTCTTCTTCTTCCGACTGGGCTGTTTAGCATAGTTAATTTTAGTGGGATCACTCTCATCCATCCGCATAACGTGGCCCACCCTCCTTAGGCGGTTTATTTTGATGGTCTTCACAATATCTGCATCACCAAAAAGTCTATAGAGTTCAAAGTTATATCGCCTTCTCCACAGACCCTGTTCGTTTACTCCGCAAAATATGGTCCTCAATACTTTTCTTTCAAAGACTCGTAGTAACTCTTCATCTCGGGTCGTCATTGTCCATGTTTCCGATCCGTATGTGAGCACTGGGCGTATTATTGTTTTATAAAGTTTGCACTTTGTTGCTATTGACATACTTCTCGCTCTTAGTTGAGGGCCCAGGTGGAAATAACAGCGGTTAGCCACGCATATTCTTTTTTTTATCTCGTTGGATGTGTTATTTTTGTAGTCTACCAGTGATCCTAAGTAGCAGAATTCTTCTACCATTTCTATCGTTTCGTGTTGCACCTCTAAATTATTTTGTTGAATTATTGATATGGCCGGCATATATTTAGTTTTCTGGATGTTAATCAGAAGTCCGATGTTTTCTGCGGCATTTTTGATAAGTGTGAAAGCCTCCACTGCTTCATTTTGGGTTCTTCCAATTATGACGATATCATCAGCGTATGCCATTATTTGTATATACTACGGGTATATATCGTACCTTTTAAGTTTATTCCCGAATCTCTCATAACTTTTTCTAACGCTAGGTTGAACAGCGTGCACGATAGCGCATCTCCCTGGCGCAATCCTCTGTTGGTTTTAAATGGTTTTGAAACATCCCCTTGTACGCGCACTTTACATTCGACTTTCATCATTGCCATTTTAATTAATTCTACCAAACCTTTTGGTATTCCTAATTCGATCATCGCCGAATATAATTGGGACCTGTCAATAGTATCGTACGCTGCCTTAAAGTCTACGAAGATGTAATGGCAGTCTATGTCGTACTCCGTCGTTTTTTCTAATATTTGTCTGATAGATGATATGTGATCAATGGTAGATTTGTTTTTCAAGAAGCCTCTTTGATAGGATCCTATTATATTGTCAGTATACCGTGCCAGTCGTTCGTTAAGTATCAGGGACACAATTTTGTATGCTGTATTAAGAAGGGAAATCCATCTAAATACTTAACTTACTAATTACTAAAAATAAAATAATTGTGGGAAACATTTTAATTTGTTTATGTACGGTTTCCAACTATTTCTAAACTTTTTATCAAACATAATTAAATTACAATCGGCATTCCTAATGATCATTAGACTAATTTGCTTAATATGTTTAGGATCTTTGTAAGCGGTTACATTATATTTTACCTCTCAAGCACAACAGATAGAAAGTTTCTGTTATATTGATCTAAACTCAGTACCTATATTGTAATTCAAACGTGTAGTTTCAAGTGACCATCATGCCTAGACGTAAGCTGGATATTGATGAATTAATTGCAAATGTGCATAAATACTTTACCATGGAAAGAGACAATAGCAGACTTTTAAAGTCATTATTATTATTTAAAATCGCCTGTCGCTTCAAGTGTCTGAGGGAACAGTTCATTCTACATAAAAAGTATATTTTGGGTTAGGAAAATAAAGTACTTTTTAATGCCATAGTATAATATTTATAGCTTACCTTCAACAGGGATGGGGATATCTTTTTTGAATGGACGGGAGTATTGGGCATAGTTTTACTATCTGAACATGGCCTCTTCTTAGTAAGTCTCCGCTGATCTGCCAGCAAATTAGGCATGCTGTGCCAAGTTCGTATTTTACTTCGAATGTTGATTTTATTTGTTGCTTCCATTAATTCATTACTTACACTTTGAACTGTTCTTCTGCGGATATTTATTTTTTCAGCATATATCTTCTGCATGTGATTATCAGGAAATGATGAACATCGTCTATGAACTTTTAGGAATTCTTTAGGTTTTTGTAGAAATAGATAAGGATTAATCTCTGACATCAGACTAGCTTGGTTTCTCTCCACAGCTCTTAAACATATTAGAGTAGCTTCTGCATATTTTTCTTGGGTAAGAAATGCATAAGATTGGTAACAATTTGATAAATGTGTTTTATCAGATAGCAGCCATGATAGTTTTTGTGACAAAGAGTGGTTTTCTAAACTTCTATATAACCAAATAGCTGACTTGTCATTTTTTAGGTGTGGAGGAATATGGGGTCGGTACTCACAGTCTACAGACAAATATGATTTGGAGGTTTCTGGTTGTAACCACTCTAGTCCTTGGATGAATTTATAGTAACCGATCTATAAAGAAAAAAATATAAATTAATATAAAGAATTGAGACGACAAAATGATACAAGGATAACAAAAAATTTGACCCAACAATTACTCTGGTTCTACATTTTGTCCCAAATTTACTTCAGTTTCGAGAATTATATGAACATGCAATTACTGTCAGTATGTATATATTTTAGATTTAATTTGATAGATCAGTTTTACAATAATATTATAACTTCTTTCTTCATTCCAGGAAAAATTTTTTGTTGCCTATTCTTCTTCTGAGAGAGTCATAGTTACCGGGTCTGGGGGGTTGGTGAGCTCCCCCAATCCCCAAAGTTCAGTGTCTTTTTTTCTAATAGATGGAGCGGCCTACTCAAGTACTTTCAGCGTCATTGTGAACCTGACATTTACACCGACCCCCGAAATAAAAAACTGAGGCAAGCATTGGAACGAGGTATCACAACTTATATACTAAAACAATTTTTAATTGAGGTGATTACTTGACAACATCGCACTTAAGGAAGACCTTAACGATAACTTTTCAACGAAATCATATTCTACCTATCAATTTAGCAGAGGCGTACCAAAAAAAATTTAATTATTTATTTAAACACATAAGTAATTACGTAAAAATTAAATCTAAGACCGATATAATTATTAAATTATCATGTGTCTTTTAACAGGTATCTTAAAGTTGTGTAACAAAATAAAGTAAAATTTTATTCTTATTAGAGAGTACCTAATACAGAACTTTAAAAAACAGAAAACTTTGGAAAATACTTATTTTTTTCATTAGACTAAAAACAATCTGAAATTTTAATATAAGATCTCTTCTCTTCTTCTTCATGTACCATGTCCTTTCAGAACGTTGGTTACCACCATAGATATCTTAATTTTATTCACTGCCACCCTAAATAGCATGCTTGTATCAACACCATACCAATCTACATATACAGACGGTTTTATATGCTGTTGTTTACTTATTACGAGTATTTTGGTTTTCCTTATGTTAAGATCCAGACCTGCTTCCCTACAACTCTCAACGACACTATCAAGTAGTATTTGCAGATCTTCTTGACTAGAAGCTAGGAGTACTGTATCGTCCGCATATCGCAAATTATTATATAAGATCTCGTCATTACATATATTTCTCTATTTATAGAATTAGGTTAATCATAATCTTTTGGTCCACAAACTTCATGCATCTGGCTTTGATGACCCCATTGTTAATTTAATTAAAAGTTTTCTGATGGGACGTACACAGCAAGTTTGTATTAACAATTGTATTTCAAAACAATTTCATTGTTATTCTGGTGTACCACAAGAGTCTCATTGTGGTCCCTTGGTTTTTAACTTGTTCATTAACGATATTGGTAAGGCTATCAAAAACTCACACTTAATTAATACCACAAGAGTCTCATTGTGGTCCCTTGGTTTTTAACTTGTTCATTAACGATATTGGTAAGGCTATCAAAAACTCACACTTCCTGCTATTTGCTGATGATCTTAAGATATTTCGTTGAATACATAATAAATCGAATAGAGATCTCCTGCAAGATGATGTAAACAACATATGTTTATGGGCAAAACAAAATGGTTTATGCTTAAATCCAACTAAATGTTCTTGTATTTCATTTAGTCGTATAAATAATTGAATGACTAACAGATATATTCTTAATGATGTAGTCTTGGATACAGTTAATGAGATTAGAGATTTGGGTGTATTATTGGATTGTGCATTGACATTTAGAAGCCATTTTCCTAAAATTAAGGAAACAGGATTTCGTAATCTTGATTTTATTTATCGCAACAGTCATGATCTCTCACCTATTGTATTTAAAATATTGTATTGCTCTCTGGTACGGTCAGGTCTTGAATATTGCTCTGTTGTCTGGTCCCCATTTCATCAAGTATACATTGATAGATTGGAGAGCGTTCAGAGGAAGTTTCTAAGATCTTTGGCTTTTAAAGCCCATATTAATATAAAAAATACTGAAAATTATTTCATAGATTATTCTATAATAATGTCTCATTTTAACATTGCTACATTGAAGAACCGCAGGTTGAGAGCTGATACGATATTTTTGTTTAAAATTCTAAACAATGTTATTAATTGTCCCTCGTTGGCAATTGGCCAATGTACACTTAAACACAATGCATAGAACTCGACATACTGCACTCTTTTATATTCCTTTTCATAGGACTGATTATGCTCGTCATTTTCCCTTGTCAATAATGCTCAGCTCTTGCAATGACCTCCTATTGGATCCTTTCTGCCAAACATTAATGCTTTTAAAAGACAACTTAAGAATATGACTATTACTCCAGATATGTGATACTTACTATGTGATACTGATACTTTTTTAAAAATTTTGTGATATGATATATTGTTTTAATGTACAAATTTTAACTGTTTACTTGTTTCTTTGTTATTTTTTTGATGTTTATTTTACATGATCTTTACTTTTTACTATTTGTTGTATTTTATTGTAAATGGTTCTACCGTTGGAATGAAGAAATAAATAAATGAATGAAATGAATTGTTTCGTGATGTAAATGTTATAGTGGTTTTTTTTAACTTCAAATGAAAGTTTCCTTGTGTTTATAGAAATTTGTTTATATAAATATAAAAATATATTATGAAGTTCATATAAATTAAAATTAAGTAAGCTAAACTATTATCATGTGAATGCATTTATATAGTGGTGCATTTGTTTATTTCAGTAAATTCTCGAAATATGAAATGAAGATGGCACTAACTACTAAAGAGTTAATAGCTTTGTTAGAAGAAGACTCAGACTGTGAAAATGCTGACTCACTTAATGTGGTTTATTTGCTGTTGAGATTAGATTAGAAAGTTTCTGATGTAGAAGACATTGATGATAATATTATTTGTGTAGAGTCAATAAAATCGGTTATTGTAGGTACATATGAAATACAAGTGATTGGGAATTCTGACGATTCTGATTATGATATTCCTTTGAACCACAGATTAAACGTCCAAAGAAAAAACCAGGCAAAAATAGCAAATCCAAATTAGTCTCAAGTTACATAAAATTATCAAGTTATTGTTACATAAAATGAATTTCCATTAAGTAACGGTCGAATCCATCAATTAATTGTCTCAAGTTGTAACAACAGATGCTCATTCATGCTCAGTCGTAATTGAACATCAGTCTGATTGATATTTAGACAATATAAAAGCCAACCATGGACCCAGGTCATATATTGAAGTTTTTTCATTTTTTTTGATAAAAAAGTAATTGATAGCCTTCTATATTTTACAAATAATTATGCATCCCAGAATAACCGTCACAATTTTGAAATGAAATACATAGATTTAAAAAAAATTATTAGCATATGTATATTATCTGGTTTACACTCTGCTTCAAGTTGATATGCATTGGTCAAAGGATGAGGATAAGGAAGTGCACATTATAAGAGAAAGCATAAGCCGACATAGATTTATATTGATAATTTAAAATAGTGAAGAAACCACTACATCAGTGTCAAACTTAGTACATCGACATCAATCTAAATTTGCTTTACCAGATGAAACCAGATTCAACAATATTGACCATATTACAAAAAGAGACAATAGTGCAAAAATATAGGATGTGCAAATGTAATACTATTTATTTATGTAAAAGGTGTATAATGCATCTACACCCCGAAGTTTTGAAAATTTTCACCTTAAAATTTAATTTACATTTAAGATACAATATGTTCCTTTATTAAAAATTGTAGTGTTTTCCTTGAAATTGAGAAAAAAAAAACTTTTTGATTGTTTCACTATACTATTTGATTGTCTCACTTTAACTTAAAAATTAAAGTCACCTTTAATTGAAAATTGTCAGACTATATTGTATTTCTAAGAGCAACTATGACCTTATCACTACGCAATGTTCCAGACTAGGCGGACATGCATCTTGTTTGGCAAGAGGCTGTTGTGCAATGGGCAGTATTAGAAGTCTGGAAACCACAAATAAATCCAGACTCCCCACACACTCAAGGAATCTGTGTCAACAACATAAACCTGCCCCTCCCAGATGGTGAAGTCTGGGGACTCCTGACTGATCAGTCAGTTGGCTGGTACATTCTGTATGTGTAGACCTACCAGATCACATAAGGGCACTTATAATATCACTGTTTGCTGATGATACATTGTTAATAGTCTCTGACATACACTTGAGGAATTAAAAATGACAATGAAGACTGTTGTTACTGTACTGTCTGTACCAACAGAGTAATATTAAACATTGACAAGATATACAACTCATCTACCTATGACTATATCTTAACCATCCATGATAGAAACAATATGTTATCTTTCACTCACTCTACAAAGTTTTTGGGTGTGCTCATTGATTGTAATCTCAAATGGTCAGAACAAGTGAATTCAGTGAACATGAAATTGAATAAAGCTTTTTATGCTATATCTAGACACTACTAAAAACACACTACCCATCTCAGCATTAATAAACATTTATTATAGCCTTGCTTACAGCCACGTGTGCTATAATGTAATTGTGTGGGGGAACTCAGTAGATAGTAACAAAGTGTTCATTACCAAAAAAAAAATGATCTGTAAAATTTTTAATTTGGATTATCAACAATCTTGTAAATTGTAAATCAATTTTTATTAAACATCAAATTTTAACTTTCTACTGCCTATATATCTACAAATGTTTACTTTATGTAAAAGAAGAAGTCAATACATTTCCAGTAAATTCAGACAATCACTATTACAATACAAGAAGTGCTTAATCTTTACTAGTTCATAAACACAGAAATCCTCTAACAATGACCTATTGTCACAACATTTTTAAAATGTAATATTTTCAATATGTATTCTAAGGGTTAATGGACTTTAATATGTAATTAGTTTCAATTATTTATTAAGATGTTTTCACTGATGATGGTCTGATAAGGCTGAAAATGTTCTGAAATTTTTAATCCTTTTGGATAATTTAAAATGTTAATAAATATATTCCATTACAGATCAGAAGTTTTTTTAAGAATAAGATATTTTTATTTTAATTGATAAAGTTTTATTTTCTTAATAAACTGCATGTGAATATTTTTTTGTTTAAATACTGGACATGAGCACATAACCTTGGTTGTACAGTAATTTCTAGCCACTGGAACACAATTACATAACAGATGGGACTGGGATCAGCAAACTGAGTATACCAGTAACATGTTAAGAAACTAAACTGTTATGAAGAGACAAACTTTAACCATCATCTATCATCTTCAAATAGCATTGGATACCACATATTAAAGAATTATGCTATTTACAACTAAAGCCTAAAAGAACTGATTGATTAGATAGTCTAGTTCAATCAACATGTAGATTATATTGTAAATTACTTCAAAATATAGGTTAAACTAGAAGTAGGTAGAGCAATCTTACTTATATGGAGTTAATAACATTAGATCATACTATTTTTGTTCAAAATACATCTGTGTAATATACTTTTAATAGCATGGATAATAATAAATTTCCTGTACACATAACAGTTCCAGTAAAATATTTCTATCCAATTATACCACAATAAATTTCTCTATTAGTTCACAATTAACAGTTTTTAAATACTGGTAGACAATTATCATATAAATGACACAACTTTTAATGGGGACAAATGATTTATTAACTTACATCTTCTGAACCTTTATATCCGTGTTTGAATATTTTATCCACTATATTATGAAACCTGTTTAGTCCACCAAAAACTGACCAAACATTTGCCACTTGGGTCATTAACAATCCTTCAACTGTGCTTTTTAAATCTCTCAGTAATTGCTGATATTTTAGACTATATTGTGATGATTCGTTCATTTTTATATCGATTATAAATTAGGAACTACATATAGTGGAACTATTAATAAAACATGGTAATTACTACTAATATAATTTCCTTTTGTTTAAATTAAAAATATACTTCTCAACTTTCAAAACACCCATTTTTGTTTTGACAGAGAAAGGTCACTGTCACCATTCTGTCACTGTCACTCTATTATGATGAATCAGCTGTAAGTAAGGCATTTTTTAATGACTATTTTAGAGTTCAAATAGAAGTGGTTAAAAAACCCAAAGCCCAAAGCTTTAGATATTTTGTTTTATTTTCAAGTTATAACAAAATTGTTGGCAGACCTATAGAACAAGTGCCGAGGAACTGACAGAAGCTTAGTGACAGATCTGTATTTGGCAGTGTTGCCATATCACAAATAAATCCTGAAAGAGCATGCGATATAATATTAATTAATGTTCAACATTATTTTTAAGTTTTTGAAAGAAGTTTAATTGATTTAAATTTAATTTATTATAATTTAAATTAACTTTAATTTTTTAAGCTTTTAAATTCTTAAGTTATTAAATTTAATTAAACATCTTTACCGATATATTTTTACTTTGTTATTCACATTTTAAGGATTAAATAATTGTCAATAATGATAATTTAATCTCTGCAACGTAAATTTGAAAAAAATATCGATCTGAACAAGCTCCAGTAACTAGCTCATACATTAACAAAACGATACTCAGATACCATTTCACCCCAAAATTATAAGAAAATAGTCATAAAAATCATAAAATTGAAATCTGCTAAACATCAGTTGCAATCTGGCAACTACTGTTTTCAAAATTTTGACAGTATTGCCAAGTTTATTTACTAATCTACCAAAGGCCATTTATAATTTTTTTTTCTAATAACTAACTGCAACTAATATCAAAAGAAACAAATATTCATTCGTTCGTGTTTCATATAAATTCAAAAAATTTTAAAAAATACCCGATTTCATAAAATAATATAATAAAAATGTACTGTTTCAAAGCATATTTGAGGCATAAAACATACACATAATAATGACATGGCAATACCGCAGACACAAATTTGACATGACGTTTATGTCAAATTCTCGGCACTTATTCTATAGATTTGCCAAATTGGGCATTTGTACATAACTTTGTTTGTTTCTCTTATTAAGTCTTTTAGTACAAATGTAATTCTCAGACAATTTTATACATATAAGTTCTTTATTAAAAAATGCCTGGGTGTGCTCATATCTCTCTCTGGAAATGTCATAATAAGACAAAATAAAAATGTTATGATTTTTAGTGTTGTGATGTATTTATCTCTACAGATTATTTATTGGTAGTAAATTTAAAATGGAATCTAGAGAAACTTCTGAGTTACAACAACTAGTCTCCAGTGATGCAGAAAATGAAGATAGTATTACTCAAGATGAACATGAAAGCAAAATAGTTTCCCCAGTTAAAAGCAGTAAAGTGGTAAAGGATTATTACTTTAAAATTTTTGGTCCAAATTCCTTTGAGTATTTCCTACTAACACCACATCATCAGCAACATTCAGCATCAAAGATTGAATACTGTTTCCCTATTTTCTGATCCAACACAAATGACAATTAATAAGGATTGAGCCCTGATAAATTCCTAATTCCACATGATATTTGATAATCTCTCCTACATCTATCCTAACACTATTTGTTATTTTCTCATATATATTGACAATCCTGGTATAATTACCAGGAGTCCTTTTTTATTGAACATCCACTATACAACTTCTCAAGAGACTAAGTGAAGAAGAATCACTCTTAAATACAAACAATCCATCAAGATAGACAGATACGTGGCAAAAGAACTAGGTGAAGGACACAAATTGTGGTATCTAAGGAAAAGTGATACTAGAAGTGGAGTTCATATAATGTGAAGAGATGTTAGTTTGAATACCAATTCATCTTATCAAACATGCTTAGCAGACATATTAAGAATAGGTTCTATTTAAAGAGAAGACAGGACCAAGAATTTAGATGAGTTTGGTGGATCAAATCAAAGCAAGAATTATTTGTGGGTTTTAGGCTTTAGAAGTATAATTGGATTAATGAAAACGAAATGTCCTGGGAAGTAGATATTTGAATCAAAACAAATGCATACATAAAAACTATATTTTCAATTTAATCACAGCAAGTTCATCATGTGTATATTGTTGAATTTATTTATTTATAAACTGTTTTTAAACTTTCAGATATCTTCTTCGGGTAATACAAGCAGAAGTTCTGTGGTACATAGTGCTAGAAGAGGGGGGAGTGGAAATGCAGCTGCAGGTTCAAAAATTACATTTGTTAATGAAAGAAAAGTTAAAGAGGGTGCCAAGCCAACTACAGTTAGAGCTAGAAATCCACATAAAGGTAAATTAATTGGAATAATGATTCTTAAAAAGGTATAAGCAATAAATTCTTAGCATATTCTTAGTAGACCACTCTGATTGAAAAATAAAAGTTAAATTAAACTTAGAATCAATTTTTCTTTACATATTTTAATATAAACTGATAAGATTTAGTTTTGAATGTATTGAACACAGTTTTACATGAATAAAATGAAGTCAAACAATATTAGGACATTTCCTGTGAAGTGGACAATAAAAGTGGTCATGAAATTTGTTCAAATTCCAGTACAAACAGTCAGTTGTACTTACTTCTATACTGCAGAAAATAAAAAATGAAATAAGTCAAATGCGTGATCTCTTAAGTTATTGTATCATTTAGCTGTCTCTATGAGTTTTACTAAGAAGCGTGCCAGTAGTGGAGAATTCATTTTGTATTTATCCTATGACATATTAATAACACATAATTAAAAACAATATTTTTATAAAATATGTTAAATGTAGTATTACAAACAAACATCTAATATATATATCAATATAATCTAAAAAAAATTTGGTTGCATTCAGGAATTCCATCTTCTTAGTGTTTCTTGCTGCTCTCAATATATTAATTACCCTCTTTATCTCTTTACATCTCTTGTTTGAATTCTTTTTTGCTTTTGTTCAGTTTCTGGTAAAATTTTCTTGTCTCTATTAGCTTGCTTAGTTCTTGTAGCTCTTGAAATTCTTTGTTCATATTTTCTCACTTCCTTTTGTGGTGGATTTTCGTTTTTTCTTTACATAGACATTTATATTCCTATCATTTATATTATTTATATTTATGAAGTTATATGCACCTGCTGCATCAGTAAATAAGCTCAAATTTTATATTTCTGTTAATATCTGTCATTCTTCACCAAAACAATCATTCATTATTTACCTTCCATGACTAGTAATTCTTCAGGGGCTTCTTTCATGATGGTTGTAACATTCTTGTTTGGAACCTATTTCCTTTTTTAAATGTTTAAAATTCTGGCCCTTATCCTACTTTTAACCCAGTGGTGTTCAGAATGCCCATTTACCCCTCTTCTGGTGCAGCATTTTATTATATTTGATTGGTATCTTGAGTCTACAATAGCATGATCTATCATATGTACTGTAAGTCCGTATGGTGATTTCCAGGTGCCGTTGTGTATATTTTTTTCGATTAAAGTTAAAATTATACAATCAATTCTAAAAAAATACACACACACACTTGACACACATTTTTATGTACCATACTTCGAAAGTGGGGTGGCCGCTGTAAGCCACAATTGAATAAGCCACAATTGAAGGTTCAAATAAGTTAAGGTATGGACTAATGTTGAGTTGTTGTAAAACTTGCCACAATTTAAGTCTTGGAACTGTATCATACATCTTTTCTAGGTCGATGAAGGCTAGATGTACTTCAGTACCAACCGCTATTCTTTTTTCTATTAATTGTTGGAGTATAAACAAGTTATCAGTGCAAGATTAAAGATTCAAACGTCAATAAACTTATTTTAACCTTCAATTGCGGCTTATTGCCATTAAAATGGTAATTAGATCTTATCTCTGTCGTTGGCCTGGTTGGTGTTTCTCTTCGTCTTCTTTCTTTTTAATGACTGCTCGGATGTAATTGTGAACACCATTTCATCCCTCCGTACCTCCCGCCATCTTCACGATCATCTCTCTTACAGTCACAGAGTTCATACTTATTTGTTTATACATTCTGTTTGTCTCCACTATACGTCTATTACACTCCAGTGATATTTGCATCATTGTGTAGTTACAGCAATCTGCTGATTCATTTGCTGTGCCTTTATTTTGCTGTTTAAACACATTTCTAAATAATGTCAGGATATTGATTAATTTCGCTATTAAATAAACTAACTCAGATATTTGACACTCAAGAGAATTAAATTTTTCTCAGAAATAAACTTCTTTCTTGATAATTTTTGCTCTGTTTAATGCCGTAAACGCAATACTTAGGATTATTTTGCAGGGATTATTGTATTTATAACAATATGATTCATGTAGAGCATGACTTGATATGTAACTTCTTCCAAATAAACGGTTTTTGCATGCTTTTAGAAGACATTATGTACATATAGACCAAATAAGCATCTGTGGTTGCTAGTTTAGGGATGCGTGATGAAAAAAGTCTGCTTATAGATGGATTACTAAACGATACATTGACATAAATAAACATTTTTATTTCAACACAAATTCCTGATTGCAATCTCTCTAGGTTCTACTTGTTGACGTTGACACTAGTGCCACTAACAGATGGTACTTACCAACATTTAACACATAAAAATATACAATATAGAATTGTAATACCAACAGCTAGTACTCTTTCTGTTGATATACTAAATAATTGAATATCCTTCTGAAATAAAAAGTATATCATCATCATCATTGGCTCCACAACCCATGGTGGGTCTTGGCCTGCTCAAGGATGTCTCCATTCTCTCCTATTCTAAACATTCTCAAGTCTTCCTCCACCTGATCCTTAAATCGTGCCTGGGTCTGCCTCTCCTTCTCACTTCATCTATTCTTTGGTTATAAATATGTTTTGGCGGCTCCATCTCATTCATTCTCTCTATGTGATCTAACCACTGCAGCCGGTTTATTTTGATGGACCTAATAATATCAGGTTTGTCATACAGGCAGTAAAGTTCGAAATTATAGCGTCTACACCATAATCCGCCCTCCTGTACTCCTCCATAGAAATGCCGGAGGATTTTACGTTCAAAGCATCTTAAACGTTCTTCATCGCTTTTTGTCATCGTCCATGTTTTCGACGCTTAGGTGAGAATGGGCTTGATAAGAGTTCTGTATATCACTAGTTTCGTTCTTTTTGTAACTAGGCTTATATCTGTTTATTTCTGCACTAATGCCATACTTATATGTTTTTTCCAGAGCTTGCCTTAGAAGGACTATTTGATCTGTCGTTGATCTTTCTTTACGAAACTCACACTGATATTTTTCTATTATGTCTTCACAATATGTGCGTTACATTTAGGAGGGTTATTCTTCTGTAGTTGTCACATATTGTTTGATCTCCTTTCTTGTGGATAGGTACAATTATACCTACATTCCAGTCTTCTGGCAACTTTATTTGCTTCCAGATCAGTTCTACCAGTCTACGTATACAGTATGTCAAACAGGAGCTTTATTTTCTTTCATTTTCTGTATAGCTTGGATGACTTCTATCTCTGTTGGGATGTTATCTTTCTCTCTTTCGTCGTCAGTATCCTCGAGTTGGATTTCTGATTCATGGAGCCCTGTCTCACCTCTTATATTTAGCCTTTCCTCGAAGATTTCTGCCCATCTTTCTAGTCTTTCCTGTTTTATTTCTAACGATTGATAATCTAGGTTTGAATTCTTTCCTGTTCTGGTTAATCCTCTTGTAGAACTTTCACGTTTCTGCTTGTGCCTTATAGTTTTCTAGTTCTTTTAGTTGGCTCTCTATATGCTCTTTCTTCTTTTTTTTAAGTATTCGTTTTTCTTCTCGTCTCAGCTGCCTATACTCTTCTGCCTGATTTTTTCTTTGCGTTGCTTGTGCGGATTTCTCATCGTACCAGTCTGACCTAAATTTTTTACGTTTTTACTTTCCGATAACTTCAGTTGCCACTTCTTCTAATATGGCTCTACACTGCCTCCAATAGTTGTTAATATCTTTAACTATAACATACGTGAAGCCTTCCAGCTTGCTTTTGAGACTTTCCTCGAATCTCTTAGCTATCTCAGGGTTCTTCAACGCATCTACTTTAAACCTTTCCTCTTTAACTCCTTTTTCTTTATTTGCATTGGAGATTCTAGCTCTTAGTTTAGCTTGTAGTAGGTAATGGTCCTAGTCTATGTTCGCCCCGCGTCTTGCACGTACGTCTATCACGTCGCTGAAGTGTCTTGCGTCAACTACAACATGGTCGATTTGGTTTACTGTATTCCCACCTGGACTTCTCCATGTTCTCCTTATGTATATCTTTGTGCCTGAAGTATGTGCTGGCAATCACAATGTTCATCGACATGTAAAAAGTTCATAAAAAGCATATATTTATTTGAATATTTTACATGTTTAGGTATACAGCCGCTTCCGCTCAGTCGACACATTATTGATGTGAATGAAAACGTATTTTATAAACTCGATCTAATATATTATTTTTATTGTATTTTTATTTTAATACCAGTAACCAGTAATTTAAGACCAGTAAGGCCAGTATTTTTTTACACGCCGCCAATGATCTAATTCAAAATTTCCGAGAATTCATGATGAGCACATTTCGGCTACATTTCACCACTTCGGCGCATAATTTTGGATGACTAATTTCATTTTTTATTTACCAAACTATAGATGGTATAAAATCTGCACTTTAACCAGTACATAACTTGTGTGCTTTTTGCCTTTCAACCGACGACATAAAAACATTTATTCTTCATTTTAATATGATTTTAAATAATTATTTTTTTATGTAGCTATAATTAGCTTTATATTTGTTTTTTTTTGCAAAAATTTTATTTAGACTTTTATTATTACATTATGTACATACAGTGAACGGCTAAATTATGGAATATTATCATTATTTCGAGAACCGTCGAGTTTTGAGGGAAATCCCGAAACAGGTCTATTTTTGTTATAAAATACCCATCTTATAACGTATATGGAGTAGGGATGAAGTCACCGGTATAGGTATAGTGACGTAATCGTTAATTTTTTTAAATAAAGGAAAATTTGATTCTCTATTTATTTTATATATATATATATATATATATATATATATATATATATATATATATATATATATATTCTCTAATATATACAATTTTTTTTAATTTAAATTCAACTCATAAAGTACTTTAAAGTAACCAAATTATGCATAATAATTATTTTAAATTAAATGTTCGAAATGCCATCCATCGGTTCCTGCTATGACTTTCTGAAGTAAATACTTAAAAAAGCAAAAATAAGAAAAAATAATAATTGACCATTATTATAATATAATATTAAATTATATATAATATTAAATAAAGACTGAAACTTTTTGTCAAATGTTTATTCAAACAAGTGATAATGGCATAGTTACTGTAATATTCACGTAAATGTTTTCATTTTGTGAATTGTCATCAGTTGTCAATTGTAATTTTTTACTTTTGAATACTAAATTATGGCTCACCTAAATGAAACGCAACGCATAGAAATATTAATTCTTAGCGGACGCGGAGATAAAAAAGAACACAGAACGAGGTATGCAATTTATTCAACGCAAAATATCCAGAAATGCCCATCAGCCAATCAACAGTAAGTAAATAGTCCGAAAATTTGGAGAAACTGGGCACGTTAAACATATTCCCCACGCTGGGCGTCCTAAAATTGAAGACAATGTTAAATTTGATATTTTATTAAATGTACATGACAATCCTTACAGTAGTTCAACACCAATGAGTGAATATGCTGGAGTTTCCCAACGATCGGTATTACGTATTTTAAAAAAAGAAAAATGCCATCCCTACAAAATTCAACTTCAACTTCAACTAGAAATTAAACGACGACGATCCCGATCGCCGGCTTCAATTTTCTGAATTTATGCAGGATTTGTTTATCTGCAATCCACATTTCATCAATTAAATTTTTTTTCCAATGAAGCCACATTTTTACACATGGTACCGTGAATCGTCAAAATTGCAGATATTGGAGTCAAGAAAAACCACATTGGATGACACACACGCAATATCCTCAGAAAGTAAATGTATGTATATCCTTTTTTCTTTGAAGAAAATCTAACAGAACATCATTTAACTTTTTTGAGAAATCCACTTATACCTGTCCTTGCTATTCAAATGCCAATAATCCAAGTTTACCTTGCGAAAATATCTGTTTTCAACAAGATGGAGCCCCTTCGCATTACGCACGTGAAGTACGTCAATTTTTAAATCATTGTTTTTTCAGGAGGTGGATCGGAAGACGACGTTTTATAGAGTCGCCAGATCTAACACCTCTAGACTTTTTCCTTTGGGGTTACATAAAATCAAAAGTTTATGTCAATAGACCCCAAAACTTCCAGGACTTGAAAGATAGAATTAGACACGAAATGAGTCTAATTACTCCAGAAGTCATCCGCAATGTACTTGATGAATGTGTCAGTAGATTCGCATACTGTCATGAAACCGATGGATGGAATTTCGAATATTTAATTTAAAATAATTAATATGCATAATTTGGTTACTTTAAAGTACATTATAAATTAAATCGTTAGTTATAATTCAGTTGAAATTTAAAAAAATTGTTTTTGTACCCTTAAAAAAATATTTTAGTTAAAAATGTAATGTCTTTAAATAAAGAATTAAATTCTACTTCAAATGAGGTGTCGCATTATACAGATTTCTATTTAAAAAATTAACAATTACGTCACTACACCCACACCGGTGACGTCGTCCCTACTCCATGTACGTTATAAGATGGGTATTTTATAACAAAAATCGACCTGTTTCGGGACTTCCCTCAAAACTCGACGGTTCTTGAAATAATGATAATATTCCTAATTTAGCCGTTCACTGTATATCATTAGTTTGCACTATATATTTCTTTTAATTTTATTTTATTTTCCGTTTATTTCTTTTTCTTTCATTTTTCGTTTAGTAGAAAACCCCCATAATTCAGATACTCGTCATCATTCTTTTGTCTCCCAAGTTCCCGATGTGCGACATATGGAGAGAGCCTTGTTGGGACTTTTGGCAGACTTCCATTCTGGAAAGCTGCGAGCCTTCGGCAGTGGTTGTACCATGGAGCAAATGACCAATATTAGAGAGCAACAAGAAAAACTTGCCAAGCTGCATTTTGACCTAGCTTCCGCCACTGTGCCTAGTTTGAATGAAGAGGATATTCAGAAATCGCAGAATACCATGAGCCAGCTTATACAGAGGTTAGAACAGTTAAGTGATTCGATTGAAGGGTTGCATAATACATCCAAGAAGTAGTTTTTTATAAATATGTATAGTTCCTTAGTTAATCTTGCCATTTATGTGGATTTTATAAAACACCAACTACATTTATATGGATTCATTCTGTATTAAATTTTTAAACATGTAATGCAACAACCTCCAGCGTATGTTTAATACCTACCAAAGATATTATTAACAAATGAGAGGTATGGCAGTAAAAAAATGGTAAGGGACAATAAAGAAGATTTGAGTTTTGAAGTGTTGAATTTTGAAAAAAAAAATTCTTATATTTTTTATTAAAAAGTATAAAACTATGAATCATGCTAATGTATGAATATTGTATATTTTTGGGAACTTTTAAAGATAGGCATAATTTCACACTACTTTGTAAAATACCTACCGGTTGATTAAAATAGCTTTTCAGTCATGAACAATCGTATATATCCTCTTGCTGGACGCTAGTTACTAGAAAAGGTTTCTTTTTCTGACACTTCTTCAAAATATTTTCCCAATGATTGTGCGAATAGATCATTTTACAGTTTTTCTAGACATAATTTTCTTTAACAGAAAAATCTCTGTTGCTTGGCAACATTGTATATCCTACCTGAGGATATATATGAACAATACTTTTAAATAGTTTTTATTTTGTCCGCAGTAATTGTCTCAAATAGCTATTAGTTTTCTGCCACGAATATTATTTTTCTCAAAGTACATTTTGAGACAGCTAGCTATTTCGTCCGACCCTCTTTTAGCAGTGGATTCATCCCACATAAAAAGTGACCCTGACCTACTCCAAGGGAATGTATGCTGAAATTATAGCACCACAGTTTTCTCTTATAGAACATGGGACCAGTGGTAAGCTTTGGTGTGGAAAGGGTTTGCTGTAGATCAAAACTTATTGCATGCACATCTGGGTTTAAGTCTGCTTGATCTACTGCGTCTCTGACTGCCTGTTGACCTGCTTCAGCTTTTCTGTGGTGTAATTCTTGTTCAGTTTTAATTTTTACAGCCTCAGTTTCATCATTGTGTAACTTAGCATTTTCTAAAGCTACTGAAAACTTATCCTACGCTTGATATGTTTGCATTTTTGGAGTTTATATTCTTCAGTAAATATTCTTCTGAATTTATCTGCAGAAACTGGAGTTTTCTTTTTCAAAATACATTCTCCTACATATTTCTCATAACAAGTCTGAATAGAATATTCCATACTCATATATTGTCTAGAGCTGTCAGCACGGGCGTAATGGATTTTGTACTTAGGTAAGCTTTTAATAAAAGATTTCAGAAAATCTATATCAGAATTGGAATATTTTTTAGGATGATTTGAATGTGGACCTCTTAGATTTGATTTTGGAGTATTTGATCCAGTTTTTAATTGTTTTTCTAGATTTTTACCTCGACCTTGATTTTTTGTAAGCCACGGATACTTAGAAACCCATTTTGCATATCTTAACATCTTTTCCTTGTGATTTTAATTTATATTCAATAGTTTGAAATGTTTTTGACACTAGTGCTTTAGTTTTCTTCCTAGTCACATTTTTAGATCTCATACTTGCTTATAAATAAGCATTTTGTCTATGAAAACTGTTCATGCCCAAAAATTAACAAAAATTGTCTGCAGTTCTTCATGAGATGCAAATAACTCATAACATTTATTAGGGCAACTTCACGGTGGGCTCTGGGTTTTTGATCAAACAATATTTTTCTTACATCTGTATTGTTTATATTCTTTTCCACGATTTCTGAGCTCTTTCGTTTTTAATTGCTAAATAAATTGCGTTTCCTTTTTCTGGATTTTATTTTTGAAACAAAATCTTGTGATGTGGGTATTAGTAAAAATAGTTAGGTAATGACTGTGAATATTGATTTATAGGATTGTATTAAAAGAAAACCATCTGTTACACTTTAACCTACGTCTTACAACAACAAAACATATCTATCTGTCTCTTGTCACCGTTCACTCTCGGTGGACACTGTCATGGTTACTTGGTGGTATTCAGCCACGGAGCGGTGTGGCTGTTACATCCTCCCCCTTTGCACCACCCTGGCGACTCGCGGGTGGGGCAACAGAGTCTAAGCAGGAATAGAGCTCTACAGGACAGCAATGACAACGTTTTGGTCGGGGTTGTCTACGTCTGGCAATATGGTCAGGTGCAGGTTCAGCTTCAATATGAGCAAGGTCATCTCCAACATGGGGGCTCATTTCGCTATCGTCTAACCCAAGGGTCAAAGACTCTTGGCAGGAGACCAGTGGAGCAGGAGGGTCGGCTTCTGAGGATTTCACTGGACGACCTCTTCTACGGAGAGGTTGAACTGGAGCAGGGCACGGATCTTCTGGATCGGCATGGAAAGGCGTCAAGGCTGAGACATGATATTTCCCAGCAGGAACATCTGGAGTGTCGATGTGTGAAACTTCATAGGTTGTAGGGGACAGCATTTTGGTCACCTTGTAGGGTCCGTCACGACGCGGCGCGAACTTCGAAGTTAGGGACTTAGACGCGTCACTTAGTGTATGCGAATCGACTAGCACAATATCACCTACTTCGAACGAAACAGAGCGGCGGTGGCAGTCTTTATACTTCTTACGTCTATCTTGAGATTGTTCATGTGTCTCGCGGGCTTCACTAAGAGCTTTACTCAAAGTTAGTAGATAGGGCGTGATTTGTGGCACGAAGTTGTCCTTGGCTATGATGCTTCGAAAATCACGATTTGCATCATCAGGAGTTCGTAACTCGCGACCGAACGTGAGGTACGCAGGCGTGAAACCGGTTGAGTCGCACTTCACAGTGTTCATCGCGAACCGTATAGCGGGTAACTTTTCAGACCAAGACGAATGGTCATTATTTGTTAGAATAGCTAACTGAGTTTTAATGTCTCTATTCTTTCGTTCGACGGGATTAGCTTCCGGGTGGTATACAGGTATAAGGTTTTGTTGGTATCCGAAACAATGCGCCACTTGCTGCATTACCGCACTCACGAACTGAGTACCGTTGTCACTGATGACTCGACGAGGGATTCCGTATCGTAAGATTATGTTGTCTATGAAACACTTGGCGCAGGCAGCGGCAGTAGCAGATTCTAGCGGGAATAATTCTACCCAACGACTAGCAGTGTCTTCCACTACCAGAATCCATGTATAACCTTGAGGAGAGAGGGGCAAAGGCCCAAATAAATCAATAGATAGCACTTCAAACCTCTGGGACTGAACAGGGGTTTGTAGCAGACCAGCGGGTTTGAGGTTAGAGACTTTATAGCGTTGGCACTCAAGACATTTACTTACATGGTCAGAGATAATTTTCTTCATCCCAGGCCAATAGTAGCGTTTTATTATTCTTTGATATGTCTTCTCCACTCCATAATGACCAGCAGTAGCGGAATCATGGTACTCATGCAGTATGTGAGGAATACGTGTACTAGCCACTACCAATTGGGGCTCTTCTTCATCTACTTCAGGAGTATAACGGTATAATATCCCATTGTTCATGATATATCCTCTTTCTGCCCACCTCTTGAAATCTACGCTTGTCTCAGAAGAGGGATCTTCTAAACATCTAATAATCTTGGCAACATCTGGATCATTAAGCTGCTCTTCTCGAACATCAGCAACACTAAGAGTTGGAAAATCTACTCTTACTAGATGAACTTCAGCTATGATGGGAACTTCTGTCATGGGAGGCCTTGATAGAGTATCTGCGATTACATTTTTTCTTCCTGTGATATATTCTATTTTTAGGTCATATGGCATGAGCTCTAAAGCCCATCGAGCTAACCGTCCAGTAGGGGACTTTAAGGTCATTAACCATTTTAAGGCCTGGTGATCACTTTGCACTATTGTAGTAGCGCCTTCTAAATATCCTCGAAATTTCTTCACTGCCCAGACCACAGCGAGAGCTTCTCGTTCTGTAGTGCTATAGTTTTGTTCAGCAGGAGTCAGGAGTCTCGAAGCATACTCTACAGGTCGTTCGTTCTCTTTCTCCCCCTGGAGAAGACATGCCCCCAAAGCATAATTGCTAGCATCTGTACGAAGGATATAAGGTAAATTGCAGTCAGCTTGTCGTAGGATTGGGGCGGAACACAATAATTGTTTCAGACATTCAAAGGCCTCTTGTTGTTCTGCTCCCCAGGTCCATTTCACATTTTTCTTGGTTAAATTCGACAAAGGTTTAGCAACATGGGAGAAATTTTCGATGAATCTACGGAACCATGAGCATGTTTGCAGGAATTTTAGCAGTTGAGTAACATTTAGGGGTGGTGTCATGTTTAGTATGGCAGATACTTTATTTTCACTTGGTCGGATACCCAAAGGTGAAAGGATGTGTCCGAGATATTGGACTTCTTCACAGGCGAATGAACATTTTGCTCTATTTAGACATAATTTAAATAGGCGCATCCGGTTGAATACTTGTTTCAAATCGTCTATGTGATCAGAGAAGGATGGGGATAATATTATCAGATCATCTAAATAAGCTAGGATATTCAGAGTTTGAAGACCAGCACGAAATTTATCAATCATCCTTTGGAAACTAGCGGGACTGTTACACATACCAAAGGGCATGCGTGTGTAACGAAAGGTGCCAAATGGACACACGAAGGCTGTTTTGTCACGATCAGCTGTTCGTACAGAGATTTGATGATAACCATTTTTTAAGTCGAGGGTAGTCATAAATCGGGTTTCCTTTGCTGCATGCAAAATATCTTCAATACGTGGCAGAGGGTACTTATCTGCACGTGTTATTGCGTTTAAGCGTCGATAGTCTACTGTTAATCTGATACCTCCATCTTTCTTAGGCACAAGTACCACGGGTGAAGCATATGGGGACTCACACTCTTCGATTATGCCTTGAGCCAAAAGTTTATCTAATTCCTGACGCAGTAATTGCCTTTTGGGCTCTGACATACGGTAAGGTGGAACAGATATTGGTACATCATCAACCAATACAATGGAGTGTTCAGCATATGGAGTAGGGTCTCTATTATATACGAATAAATCAGAATTTTCCTTAACAATGTTGTTAAGATTGGATCTTTCTTCTAAGGATAGAGAAATTCCTTCATCTGCTCGTAGTTCTAAATGAGCAAGAGTAACGCTATTGACCTGGCAAGGAGAGCTGACCTGAGCTGGATCTGGAGCAAATGAGTAGGGGATATTAGGGACATCACCATAAAACCATGAGTCATTAGGAATGTCTAGAATGATGTTAGCTTTTCTTAAGAAGTCTGCCCCCAGTAAGGTACGACTATTTGTGTGTGTGGGCACAGAAATTAAGGAAATGCTATGAGAGCGGTTTTGTAAGATAACAACTAAATCAAATACCAAAACAGTGGTAGAAGTAGTCCTACCATCCGCTAGAGTCATGTCTACACTTTTTGTGGAAAAGGGTACCTCATCCTTCAAGAGGATATCTCTTAGCTGAGAGCCAGCAATACTGCACTGTGCTCCCGAATCAAGATAACAATGACCTACATGACCTTCAATAGTGACCTGAACAATGGGTTTAGTTGATAGGTTTGTGGAAAATTGTTGGTCGACATTAACTGTTTCAGCAAGCATAAATTCAGATACTGCTGAGGATTTACTGGATGATTTGCATTTTGGACAATTACTCTTAATGAATCCAGGAGTCTTACATCCATAACACGAAATCTGATTCGAAGTAGAAAAGGTTGGTTTAGGGCTAGTACGAGAAGTTACTAAAGGAGGATTAGGTTTGGGCTCAACCGAAGATTTTCGAGAATCTGCTTCCCTGGTTCTGGCTGCGGCCAATTTTCGACATTCATCCTTCACGTGACCTGGATTTTTGCAAAAGCTACACCGTACCCGTTTTGATTCGTTTTCGTTTTTAATGTTTATTTCCGGATTTTCATACGATTCTTCAGTTTGCCTCGCTTCTTTTAAGAGTTCGCTAAATGTATTGATCTTATCACGTGCTACTTTTTCACGTATTCTCCTATGTAATAAACCGTATACCATATCTAATTGAGTGGCTTCGGTTAATGTATCTGCCGGTAACTGAGCTATTATCGCGCGCGCTTTGCATACAAAAATGTCACACGGTGTTTTAGCATCTTGTTCCGTCGAAAACAGTTCCCGATATACTCTGTAGGCTGGTTTTTGAGGTCCAAAAGTCGATCGTAATAAATTAATGGCGCTGGCCCACGTGTTTACCGTATTTTTAACACCTTGAAACCACGTGGCGGCGAAACCGTCTAGCAGCATGGGTATACCCTTTAATGCGTTCGCGTCAGACACGTGGCTGCACTCTTTATAGATCTCGACCGCATCTATAAAAGCTTTTACATCAGCCCCCTTTGATCCATCGAAGCGAGAAGCGCATTTTGCTAAACTACCCGAGTCCGAAATAGGCCTTGCTATTGTATTTAATAAGGCTTGAAACTGTTCGCTTGTTAAATTTACTGAAGACATTTCTGCTGATGTTGATTCGCTTGAACTAAAAACCGTCGCCGACCTAAGCGAATAACTGTGTTTATCGTTTGTTGCCGTGATTGCAAATTTAACACAAAAATAGTAATAAAAATTAAAGGCTTACAGTTTCTGTTGCTTATTTCTTGTAAATACCCTTGAATGGAAGCTTGATATTCCCACAGGATATTTCTGAATGGTCTGTAGTGGAAGATTGATATTCCCACAGGATGTTTTGAACGATCTGTAGTGGAAGATTGATATTCCCACAGGATGTTTTTGGATGGTCTGTGCGGAGTTTCCACAGCAGTCACATACACAGTAGATTTATTGTTGTGAAGCACTAAACTAAGTGAAAATGTCCACTAATCACCTTACAATGGCGGGAGCAAAAACACTTTTTACTGTTCACAATGAAACTTTACGATTTTCACAGTACGAACTACACTTTAAACTATTTTGCCCAAGTTGGGTGCCAGTTGTGATGTGGGTATTAGTAAAAATAGTTAGGTAATGACTGTGAAAATTGATTTATAGGATTTTATTAAAAGAAAACCATGTGTTATACTTTAACCTACGTCTTACAACAACAAAACATATCTATCTGTCTCTTGTCACCGTTCACTCTCGGTGGACACTGTCATGGTTACTTGGTGGTATTCAGCCACGGAGCGGTGTGGCTGTTACAATCTTCTTTTCTTGTTTACTGTTTTCATTTAATTCTCCTCTATTTCCTTTTTCTTCCTCCCCTTCTTCTTCAGTACTAGACTTTGGGTATGTGTGAGAAAACATAAATAAAAATAATATTAAGTATTATAGCGCTGCAGAAAATTCTTTTTCATATTTGCAAGTTTTAATGCAAAGTGAATGTGGATGTAAACAATATTAAGTACATCCTTTACCATTTTTTACTTGCAAACCATTATTCAAAGAATATAAATAAATTACCTTCTTTGTAGAAAGTTAATCGAGCTAGCTTCACTAAATATTTGAAATTCAGGACCTTTATCTGAGTCGTAATCCTCGTAGCTCTCAGAAATGTCACTATTAACATCAAAAAAGCCATTTAGATTTGAACAACCTGCTTTGTCTTCCGCCATTATGGATACATAATATTATTTTCATGCTTATGCATGTCTCTTACCAAATTTTAACAAATTATTCTGGCGCCATGTATTATTCGATATTATATGTCGAGTGACGTCACTCGACACTGAGGAGTAGGCAGATTGAGACCTCAGTGCCGAGAGACAGTTCTTGTATTTATAATACAGAACACGATACTGGTACGTTTCGAGTGAAGGGAGTAGGCAGATTGAGACCCCGAACTCGAACCGAACCGTATCCCTCTTGATAATGGCTCCAAAATGGGAGCCGAAATGTCGAGCGTTAAATTCTCAACGTGGTTCTTCCCGAGAACCTAGTGATTTCTGACCGCGGAAATCTATATATATATATATATATATATATATATATATATATATATATATATATATATATATATATATATATATATATATATATATATATATATATATATAGTCAAGGGGAAATAAAAAAAAGTGAAAATACTATTTCAATCTTTTAATAAAAAACATTTTGTGCAGTATACGAAACGAATAACGAACGAAAAATTGCAAATAACGGGCACAATTATCGCTAGGTGATGTCAAAAATGGTAATGATGTAATTAACAATTATTATGCAGGTTGTGTGGCATAATATTAAAGTGAAAAGAAACGTATATATTTAGAACATTTGCTATAAAATATCCAGTGGATTAAGGGTGGACCTCAAATATATTAACTGATCATTAAACCTGGTAGACCTGGTAGAAGATCATCGTGGTCATAAATCTCGAACTGAAATATTTGATTAAGCACATGAGGTAAACTTATTTCAATAATTTACGAAGTACTAAAAGTAAACACAAATCTCGGGCTTGCTTGTGCAGAAATGACAAGAGGAGACATTGTCATTTTACAGGGTTATGCCTAATCATAAAATCAACATACATACTGTAAAAAGCTATAATAAAACTAAAACAATATATAAAAAATGTATTTTATTTATTGCAATACAAACTTTATTTTGTCACTATTATTAATTATAATGAATCCAGAATTTATTTTATTTATGTATATATGTTTTTAATAAAATTTTACATTGAAGCTTTTCATTTTAATTCATGTACCCTCAACATAAATGCTTATGTAATAACACTAACAGACAGTCTTTCAATTATCTTCTCCCTCTTTGTGCTGGACCAGGATCTTGCCTCCTATTTTCTAAAATTAAAAAACAAATGGTTATTTTACCATTAAAAACTAGAGGGTGTCGGATTATTGGAATGTTCGGATTGCCGGATTGTATAGAAAAATTCACAATAATAAAATAAAGCAATTCATCAAAGTAAAAGCTGCACATAAGTATTTGTGTTAATGTTCTACAATCTACAAGTTTTTTTATCACTGTAACATATCTCTGTCATAGGTTACTTGATAACATCTAATCACCTTCCCCTCCTGGTCAAAAATAACCTCACGAAACCTGTTAAAACAAAGAATATCTGTAACTTGTAGAACAGATTATCGTAAGGCAAATGGGGAACTATTCCGTTATCACCCAAAATATTCTAGAGTTAAGTAAACTATCAACGACTAATCAAATTGAGACAGGGATTTCACAAATTAAAACTCTTTTTCAAAAAGCTTTCTCTCTTACTATTCCAAAAACCAAATAAAATATCCAACACTTCTAAACACTATAAAAGTTATCGAGATCTTATCAAAACAGAACATAACCATCTCTCGGCATTGATCAGGTTGAAGGTTAACAAGCTGAAACATGAAGTGAGTTACTGTTGACCTGGACTACCGAGATTGTGAAAATTCTGGAAAAAATTTAAATCCCAACCAAACAAAAAAAGCGAATGAGTTTCCAGCTGAATTCTTAATTTGGCCGGACCATCTAGTTGGTGATTGTCCTCTTCATTTTCTCCCCGGAACGTTTCCAGAAACAATCTCTCCAAACTATCGCCACCTCCGCGAACCACGTGACCGAAAAACTGCAGAATATGTTGCAGACATAATGTGGACAGCCTTTTTTAATCTCGATTGGTTCAGAATGGAAACGTTTGTCCTATGAGCTGTCCAAGGTATGAGCAGCATTCTTTTTCCAGCGTCACATCTCAAAGGTATTAATTTTTGGCACTCGCGTCCGCGTCTCTGCGCCTTATGGAAATATTGAGAATACAAGGGCATTCACCAATCTCATCTTGATATTTTAAGAGATAGACCTGTCTTTCCAAACTTTAGGTAAGCGACTCATCGCATTTTTTGGCATGCCAGTACGTCTCCGAGCTTCTGCTTCACAGTTACCATCGTTAATTATATTAGACCCAAAATAGACAAAAATGTCCACTATCTGGTATTCCTGTAACATGTCAGTCAGTTGAATAGTATGGAATCTGTCAACCACCATTAGTTTTGTCTTAGCTTTATTGATTTTCAGACCAACTTTATTGCTTTCGTACTCAATTCTTTGCAGGAGATTAAACATTTCTTCACCGGCCCATTCATCTAAAGCCATTCTCATTGACATGTTCACCATAAATGTTGAATAAGTCAGGTGACAACACGCATCCTTGTTAACACCTCTTTCGGTCTTGAATTGGTTTGAGAACTTATGATCTAGTCATACTGTTGCTGTATTGGACTGGTACAGATTGTTAATAAGTGTCACCAGGTCCATGATACTCAACAAACGTCAAATGAACATCTTAATATGGTAACGGAAAAAAAAATCCTGAGGAGAATTTATAACAAATGTTTTGACTTCCCGATAGCATATATCCATCAATTGACCAATATTCTAACCATACAAAGTTGTATCAATTCTCTCAGTAAGAGATACTAAGAACTGTCGATAGCTTCAACACATCAACAACAAAAAGTTCCATTTCCACCAGCTAAGCTTCTCAGCTTAGTAGACAATGAACTTCTTGATAAGTCTTTAACAACCTAGAAGCTACACCTCTAAAATATTGCAGAAATCTTTCTCTGAGTAATAAGAGCTATCCTATAACTTTCTATTTTCTCTCCCTCTTCTTTTTAGCAAGGCAGTCACTCCTTAAAAAGCTAATGTCACTCGAATCCCCATTGTTGAGTCCTGTTAAAAGATAGGGGGAGCAGCCATCCCTTGAAAAGGCATAAGCCTAAATGAGGCCATCATAACTTGTTTGTAGAAAAAATCTAGAGAGAATATAGATGTGAAATACGAAAAGTGGTCAACTTAGGTAAAATATTCACTGAATATAAATAAGTTAATGTGATTGGAGAGAAGGAAGAAATTCTAGAGAAAACAAAAAAAAGTCCAGTGAGACCAAATAATCTTGGAAAATATAAAATTTCTCTTAAAATGGTTCTCTATGTATACAGACATGTGTGTCCAATATATAATATGTCATATTTGTTGTTTATTGAATTTATTTTAAGAAATGGAAAAATAACTTTGAAGAGTGCGAAAATTTTTATAAGAAAGGAAATATCTATAGATGCTGAAGAACATATAGTAAAAATATATAAGATAATGCCTCGTTAAAACAAAACGAGACCTGATACAGGCTTTTGAAACATTAGAAAAAGCCGCGAAGACAATGGGACTGCAGGTTAACGTATCCAAAACAAAATACATGAAGGTCACAAATAGCGCCACCATAAGATCTGGTGACAGAAGCACACATATTCGAAGGGGTTTCGGAGTTTATATATCTTGGACCACAACTAAATAACAGCAACCTAGTAAGCGTAGAAATTAAGAGAAGAATATACCTGGCGAACAGAGCTTACTTTGAACTAAAGCAGTTTTTAACATAACACATAATTAGCAGAAAAACCAAGATACTAATATATGAAAATCTTATTAAACCTGTCCTGACATACGCGTCAGAGACATGGACTATGGTAAAAAGCAACGAAGAACTGTTAAGCCGCTTTGAAAGACGAATACTTAGACACATACACGGAGGAGTACAAGAAAGCGGGATATGGCGCAGGCGCTACAATTTTGAGTTGTATCAATGCTATAAGAAATGCAACATCGTCCGGTCTATTAAAATTAATAGACTAAGGTGGCTAGGACACCTTGAAAGAATGGACACTGGAGACCCCCAAAGACAGATATTCTATCAAGAGCCAGTAGGAACCAGGAAGAGAGGCAGTGTTTTTTTCGTGTAGCAATTTAGTTTATTTCTCAATATTCTTGCCAAGATTTTGTATACAGTATCTAATAAGGTTATACCTCTATAGTTGTCACACTTCAGTTTGTATCCTTTTTTATGCAGAGGGCATATGCGGGCCTCATATCACTCCGATGGCATTACTTCCTTTTCCCATACTTGCACTAGTAGCTGATATATTTTTCTTTGTAGTTGTTCTCCACCAAACTTGATCATTTCTATGCATATGTCATTTTTACCAGGACTTCTGTTATTTTTCATTTCTTGTATTGCTGTCACCACCTCCTCTGCCTTTCAACTATCGCATCTTCTCCAACTGTCCAGTTCTGCTGCTTCATAGTCCTCCTCACCATTTAATAATTCTTCAAAATGTTTTTTCCATTCCGTCATTATTTCTGCCGGATCGCTAATTAAATTTCCGTCTTTACCTTTCATATAACTACAGTGGCTTTAGTAACCTTTTCCCACCTTTTTAAATTCTTGATAGAACGACCTCACCTCTTTGTTTTTAAAGTTCTCTTCTATCTCTTTTAATTTCAACTCATTGTGGTTTCTCTTTTTCCTTCTACACAGAGCTTTCAATCTTCCTAGAACAATTCTATATTCTTGTTTTTTACACTCTCTATTATCTGTTAATATTTGTTGTCTGATCTTTTTCTTTTCCTGTGCTATCGCCTGACACTCTTCGTCAAACCAATCTTTGTTTGTACTTCTCTTGGAGTCGCACTTAACTATTTTCTCGCTAGCTTCTCCTACGGCAGTTTTAATTTGTTCCCAGGCTTGATCTGTCTGTAAATTTTGGTCACATTGTTGTAGAATTTTATTTATTTCTTCTTCATATTTATTTTTAATTTCAACTTCCTTAAGTTTCTCAATATTGTACTTTCTCTTCGTTTTATTGTTCGATTTCTCTTTTTCTTCCAGCCTCCTCCCACATATAACTTTAACGAGGTAATGGTCCGACTCGATTTCAGCTCCTCTCATACTTCTTACCTTCTGAACGATATTCATATATTTACTTTCAATTATAACATGATCTATTTGATTCACCGGCCTTCCATCTGGGGAGACCCATGTACCTTTGTATATCTCTTTTCGTTTTAGTTGTGTGCTTCTCACCACCATGTTTTTCTCCATGGCAAATCCAATAAACCTTTGACCATTATCGTTTGTTGCCTCGCGTTTACTGTTGTTACCAGTTACTGCAGTGTACAGAGGTTCGTTTCCCACTTTAGCATTAAAATCTCCCATTATTATTTTTACATCACATTTAGGTAGGCGCTCGTATTCATCATTTAGCTGTTCATAATAAAGATCTTTTATTTCGTCATCTTTGTCTTTTGACGGTGCATGGATATTGATTATACTCAAATTCCTTATCTTACTTTTAATTCGTATTGAACACATCCTATCAGAGATATGATTAAAAGCTATCACTTTATCCTTGATACATTCAGCTACTAAAAAACCAGTTCCAAGCATTCTATCTTTACCTCCACTTTTGAAAAGCACCATATCTTCTATATCAGTTATTTCCGATCCTAATTGTTTTGTCTCCCTCATGACCTCCCTCGAAAAGAATTAGTCACTGCTAGTGATATGGATGAGAGAACATTTATAAAAAATTCATGATTTTAGATGTCTTGGAAAAAAATGATTATATCGTCAAAACGATTATATAATGACGAAACGTCGCTGAATGAGGGTCATATGAAATTAAAAGCAAGACTTAAATATTTAAACTTCACTACAGGCTTTTAATCAGAGACTTTCAACTGGCTTAAAAGCACCTTCGGGCAAAGAAAGATGTCTCATTATTATGCACATAGGAAGTGATTCAGGTTTCTTACAAGGTGGTTTAAATATGTTTACCTCAATCCAAACAGGTGATTACCATGAGGATATGAATGAATCTGGATCAGTAATTATAATGAACAATGCACCTTATCACAGCCATCATATGAAAAAAAAAATACCTACTTCTGCATCTTGAACAGCAGATATAGTAGATTGGCTAAAAAGCAAAAATATAGATTTTGATGAATCCATGATAAATGTTCAATTACTTTATGTACTGCACAAATATAAGACTTCATACATAGGATTTGCAGTAGACGAAATGGCATGAAGCATGACATCATCATATTAAGAACTCCTCTGTATCATTGTGAATTGATTCCTTGTGAGCTAATATAGGCACATATAAAAAATGAGGTAGTATAAAAGAACATAACTTTCAAATTAAAAGATGTCAAATTATATTAGAACAGAATATACAAAATATATCCACTTCCAAGTGGCAGTCATGCAGAATTAAATAGCATTGAAAATAATTAAATAAATTTATTCAAATGTATTAACAAACTAAAAAATAAATAAAATTAAATGTAATGATAATCAATATGAAGTTATTAAACATAAAGGCAAGATGATAAGGAAAATGTAAATGATGAATAAATTATATGTAATATTTTTACAACATTTAAAAATTAGTAAGTTATTACACAAAATTTTTAAAGAAAAAATTAAGATTTTTTAAATTTTAAAGAACATTAACCCACATGGGGAGTGAGACAGGGGTGGATAATTACACCAAAGATATTTAATCTATACTCTGAGTACATTTAGTTATCTCAATAAATGGAGTCAAGCTCAATAACCTGCGGTATGCAGATGATACAATAGTGTTTTCCAATACAATAGAAGGGCTGCAAAACTTAATGAATAAAATAACAAAAACAAGTAGAAAATATGGACTGGATATAAACACCAGCAAAAGCAAGCTAATGACCATCAGCAAGGAAAACATATCTGGAGCAAATCTGTATGTAAACCAAATGAGAATTGAAAGAGTCTCACAATATAACTACTTGGGAACTATAATCAATGAGTCATGGGACAATACCCAAGAGATTAAATGTCGCATCAGAAAGGCAAAGAGTGCATTCTTGACTATGAGTTCTATGTTCAAGAGCTATGACCTCACGCTAGAAACAAAAATAAGACTCCTTAAATGTTATGTGAACTCAGTGCTTCTGTACAGAGTAGAAACGTGGACATTGAAGAAGGAAACTCTGTCAAAACTTCAGGCTTTTGAGCTATGGTCATACAGAAGGATCTTAAAGATACCATGGACAGACAAAGTCACCAATGAAGAAGTACTGAGGAGGATGAAAACAACTGCGGATTTGGTCATCAAAATCGTGAAGGGCCGTAAGCTGCAGAACTTGGGCCATATAATGAGCAATCAAGGCAGATACGAGCTACTTCAATGCATTTTACAAGGTAAAATTGAAGGGAAAAGAGCCCCAGGACAAAGAAGAATATCCTGGCTTGCTAACCTGACAGCTATTTTGTATAGCAACCAACAAAGTCATCATAGCCAGAATGATCGCCAAGGCACCCTAAGGAAAGGACAGGCACCCTAAGAAGAAGATTAACCCACATAGTAATAACATATTTTACAACATATTCACTTCTGTCAGCATGACTTAAGTGCCATGAGTGACTGTAGATGGCAATTATTGATTGGATCTCCCATCACATGACTGGCAAAATCACTAGTAACTAATAGTTAATTTGTTTTTGTTACTACATTCGGAAAGCACTTGTGAGATCCTTCATCCTACATGGTTATAAAAGTATGTACCTTATAACTTTATTATTATTATGGCAAATTGGTTATTCTTTGTTATCTTGTATTATATTCTATGGGTATGAATGCATTTTTATAACCTATACACAAGGCACCAGGAGCAAAACCAATTTAAAAAATGATTTATATTTATGATGAATATTTTTCTACCCACGAAACATGATTTTCAATGTAGAGATATAGGAATACTATACTTACTTGAACTCTACCTTTCTTAATGATTAAATTAAAAACCAATATATACTTACTTATTCTAGTTTCAGCCGCGCTAGAAGCAGTTACAAATGTTCGTTGCAACTTTGATTTCTTTTCCTCTCTATAAGATTTTGCAACATCTTTAGAAAGTTCAGCTATTCGAATCATTAATTTCTGAGGATACCTTAAAACCACAAATTGTTTTAAAATGAATAATTTTGAAACTTATCTAACTTACATGCACCCCATAAACTCAATGTTGGTAAAAGCCTTTCCCAAAGCAACTAAATAGTCTTCACTGAAATTGCCTTTATGGGCTTCAAAAAACATCTTCCTTAATTCCCAGTGATGCTCTGGTTCTGTATCATCCTTATATTTGTTTATATCCCAGTCTGTTGGATACGTCTTGGTCATTTTGATTTTACAAAAATATTAATAAACTTATAATTTTATTGAATAACCAGAGAATATAGACTCTATATTCTTTGAAATAACATTAAAATTCAAATTCAAAACAATGTGGATTACTTCAAATTGATTTGTTTTGATGTGTTCTCGCTGTCTGTCATTAGTCATATGTAGGGAGACGAGAGATTTTGTCACAAAAATGTGGAGAGGTCACACAAGGTAAAATCACACAAGCCAAATCTTATACCACAGAATCCAGAATATGCATAGAACTTGTCATTCATCTATTTAAATTCACTCTGATTTTCATGTAAGAAAAGGATTTCTACATCTGTTTACGGATCTAGTTTCAAATACTTTTTCACTGACGATGGTCCGACTGGGCCGAAAACGTTTTGAAGATTTGTAATCATTTTGGATAAATTTTTAATTTATTTTTAGTAAACAATTAATGCACCATTATGCATACGAATATACGAAGATCAGAAGATACGAAGTATTAAAATCTGTTTTAGACTTTAACACAAAATGATATAAGAAAATGGTATAACAAAAACTTACATGAAATGATTGTGTACAATATTAATACAAGAAGTTTCGTATTTACTTCTATGTAAGTTTTTTTTAACAATATTATTTCTGTGATTTTATGAACGAAGACCACAGAATAATAATCACATTAGTGTTCTGTGCGAAGACTAAAATAAGGTTACACTATTGTCGTAGAGATGGCAGCGAAAGTTGTTTCAATTTATCGACTAATGACGTGAGGAAGCGAGGAAAATATTAGGTGACCTTGTAATGTTTGTAAATAACAAGACACGTTGAGCTGTTTTTGTGTTGATTGTGTGCTTTATTTGCAAGTTTTAGAAGTTGTCTTTAGAAATTAATTACCACAATGAATTTTGAAGAAATGGCAGTCATCGAAGAACACAGTGTTTGCGTAAGTTAGCCATGACAAGTAGTTTTAAAGTAAAAATTAAGTAATCATTTGTATCACACCATGGTCTGATGATATCTAGGCATGCTCGTCAACATTCTTTTCTCGTTTGTTTCAGTAATCAGTAATTTCTAATATGATTTTGGTAGTTATTAAGTAGATATAATAGTAATAAAATTCCTGTCAATAAAAGTTGTTAAATTTTTGAAAAATTCTATTGGCATTCCAAATTAAATAATTTAAAGAGGCACTGCTTTGGGTGATAGCTTTAGCGCGCATGCTCGAGAGCAGGACAAAATTTAAATTGAACTGAAACTGATAATGATTAAATTATGTCAATAAAATATGTTTGATCATCTATTAAATTTGATAATATGAAAAACTAATATAAACAATTGAAAACACCTATTGTAGAATTGATATTTTCTGAAAAAAAAATTGTTCTGGTGTCAAAGCAGTATTTATTTAATATATTATCTGTTAGAAATATGGGATAGATTCAAATTTTTTATATTTTATAAATAATACAGAAAAATTGTTACAAGTTTTCTTGATAATAGTAAAGAACCTTTTTTGTAGAATAATACAGTAAAAGGAGTTTATCAATGGACTAGAATGGTTGAATAATATTATACTATGCTTAACTTTCACTGTTAATTGAAACTTGTCTGAATCATTTTAATGCTAATGCTGAATTCTTCCAAATAGGTTTTGCATGTAATTAAATTGCCATTGGTTATATATTTTAAAAGGATGATGATATAATCTATAGAATATTAGGGAATTGTTACAGGCAGAATGAAATGTTGAAATGATTATTTTTTATGTATGTTTCCTCTGCTTCAAATTATTTTAAATATTCCTACACTGTCAAGCATAAAACTAATTATATGTAATAAGTATTTTAAGTTATTTTAGAAATGTTGATAAGTAATTGTAAAATTCTCTAACATTAATTTGCACACTCTTCATTAATTTCTATTTTTAATGCTTCAATATCTGTAAATATTTGAGCATAATAAATTTTGCATTTTAGATGCCCCTAGATAAAATAATCATTTGATCCTGATCTCGGACTAACTACAGTTAGGTCCAATCAAATAATTATTAAATGTATTTTTAAGAAATTCCTTAACCTCCTGGTTATTGTCTGGCACCCATCCATTTAACAAATGGCTTCATATATGCAAGAGTCTGTAAAATCTCTTCTTCTAGCAAGTCCAAAAACTTTTCAGAATTCAAATTTTCCTTATGAAAAGTGGTCCAATAATATTGTGTCCAAATATTCCTAACCATTGCAAATTCCTTTAATGAACCAAACTTGTTATAATTATATCCGTACCTCGGAGGTAAAGGACACTATGTCCATTTTCTTACTTTTTAAGGAGGGCAGTTTTAACATGTTTTAAATTTGTTATCAGTAAACACTCAAATGTTTCTGATATTTAACCAAAATTAATATATTATACTAATTTTGGTTAAATATCAGAAACATTTGAGTATTTACTGATTAGAAATTTAAAAAATGTTTAAACTGCTCTCCTTAAAAAGTAAGAAAGTGGACATAGTGTCCTTTACCTCTGAGGTACGGATATGTACATGTGATAATAATCTAAATCTTTAACTTAATTGATTATTAATAAATAAGTTTATTTTATTTATTATGTTTGTGTGTTTTGTTTATGTACCTGACTGTAACCAATTGGTCAATTTTATTGTATACCCGAAGGACCCCTTCTCCAAACAATCTCTATACAGAAATAGAGACATTGATCAAGTGTTTTCTAAAATTTTGGAGCATTTAAGTAGTAATATTGTTGACTAGTTTACACTATTTGTATAATAAACAATACAGTTTACAGAAACAAATGAAGCACTAAAATATTTCATTAAAGTTGTTACAATTATTATCAGCTAACCCTGAGTCTCCTACCTTTTGACAGTTACTTACCAACAGTAGTTTTAAGTTCACCTCATTTTATTTGGTCATAACTTTTTACAATAAGCTAAAAGCATCCTTTAGAATGCCTAAAGATCCTATTTTGTATTTAAAACGAAAACATTTGAATGACATTTGAAGTATTACATATCAGCTGATAACTATGGTTGTGAGTGCAAATTTATGTGGTAAGTATAAGATCTACTTCAATACTTGGGATATAAGAATACCAGGATTTGGTGATACTCAAAAGTACCGCAGGGAGACTATGGTTTAAGCAACTTTTTGGATAGTCTGGGCATTTTCTGTATCAATAAGAATAAAACATGGGCCCACCCTGTATATATCTATTCCATTAGGTTCCATTTTAATTTCCTCAATCTGCTAGTGCTTGGTTGAATATTGAATATATTTTTTATTTTAGCATTTATTTAAGCACTTCCTTTTTTTAGCCTTCTATCATCCATTCTTTTTAAATAGGCCTGATTATAGTTAGATATAATAATACTAGTGATTTTGACCATCGCATGCGACAGGGGATCTAATCAATTGTCATCTACAGTCAGTCATTACATTTTTAAAATAATAATTTTTTTTGCACGTAAACCAAGTAAATATAAACTATGATCTGGTGCACTTCTGATGTGCCGTTTGGTAGTCTTTCTTTTTCTATCTGAATATATTACTTATATTCTCCCCTTTCATTTGCTATGTCGCATGTTAGAGTTCGATCAGTTGTTTATTTTGTACTCAGTCTAAGGCCTTCTTAAAGTCAATAAATCAAAATTACGATACGATATCTCGTATGTCGCTATGCGTTAATTAATAATGAAGATACTGTGTAGTGCCCGTTTGGTAGTCGCCTTCTGTTTTTTTATCTTAATATATTCGTTATATTCTTCCCTTTCATTTAACGCATTACACGCTCCAATCGGACCAATAACAACGGAGATATGATGTTATGCCCTTTTGGCAATGCCTCAACGTGTGATTTTTTGTGTCTCAACATATTCGTAACCCGTCTCCATGTATCGTACGTCACTATCCAACAAACTATTCTACCCCTACCACAAAATGCTCAAAAAAATAACCAGAATGCAACATAGCGTTTTCTTATGGAATTTTACATGAGACATGAGGCAGAAATGGTATAACCCCTTTATAGGTATAGCTTTTGTTTATAGGCATATATTTTATCGAAAAATCGAGGAAGCGCTGAAAGGAAAGATATACAAGTGTGTGGCGAGGCCTACGTTGGTGTACAGTGGTGAAGTGTATCCTGTAAAGAAGATTCAGGAAAAGAAGATGGAAGTAGGTGAAATGAAAATGTCACAGTGGAGGTTGGGTAAGACTAGAATTGACAGGATCGGGAACGGATTGATTGATGATAGGGCTGGGGTGACTACAGTCTTAAAAAAGATTTAAGAACAAAGACTGCAATGCTTTGGTCACGTCAGAAGGTAGAGGAAGATCGAGAAGTAGACGGAAGCACTGTGTGGCAGAGTACTTAGAAGAGAAAGGTTTTGGTGAAGAAGATGCGATGGACTGAAATGAGTTGCGAATAAGAGTAAGGAACAGCGGTCGCTGAAAAAGGAAAAGCTAAGGAAGATGTTTAGTATGTTTATTGTTTATTCCTCTGTAGTTTTCCTGGTCTGATATTATCCCCCTTTATGAACGTCTGTTTATATACATCTGATTACTATATACATCTATTAAGACGGTATCATCAGCATAATCTGATGTTGTCTATGCTGATTCCGTTAGTCTTAATTCCGCCTTTTACCTCGTATACAGTCAGTAGACTCGTAATTAAACAGTAGCGGTGATAAAACGCAACACTGTCTCACTCCTCGTCGGATTTGTATATCTTCGGGTGTTGTGTGCTCTATTTCAATTGTTGCCGTGTGGTGCCAGTATAGTTCTGAGATAATTCGCAAGTCTTGTTCGTCAACTCCAGTTGTTCTCAGAATTTCGATAATCTTTTGATGGTTAACGAAGTCAAATGCTTTTCGATAGTCAATAAAACATGAATATATATTCATGTCTCTGCATCGTTGCGTTAACACATTTAAAGCAAAAAGAGTCTCTCGTCTTCCCAATCCGTTTCGAAATCCGAATTGAGTGTCACTCATCTGGAACTCGCACTTCTTGTAAATTCGTCTATGGATAATTCTGAGAAAAGTTTTAAGGACATGAGACATCAAGCTTAATATTCGGTAATGCTACGAATGTTGATTTTAGTAAGTTTGTTGGTATTTTACCTGTGTTATATATCTTAATGAATATTGCTGTTTTTAAGTCTAGGCTTTTACTTTCGTTATCTACAATTATAGTGTATTTTTATGTATGAGAGAGTAATAAAACAATAAATTATGTATGCAAATCCCTAAACTGTTGATACGGGTGACTCAATGAAAAACAGATATTTGTCAACAAGTTTACAGAAGTATATAGGAAAACAATTTTAAATTGAGTATGACCACCAGGTATAAAGGTTGGAGCAGAATAGAATACAATACTTGTGAGGGTTACTAATCCCTAAATAAGGTTGCCAGTGTCGGAGTGATGGAGGTTAACAGGTACTAATGAATTTGCAAGAAATGTAAGATGGTTATTTTATTGGTTATATATAACCAATAAAAGTTTAATAAGTACCTACCTATTTGCAAAATAATTTAATTCTTTAGATAAAATAAAACGTTTTATTTTATCTGAAATGAGTGCATTCCACGAAGTAAGGGTTTCAACAACCAAACATTTAATTCTTTACTTCCAGGAATCTACGACAGTAATTGACTAGATAATTACCTTCTAAACTTATTCCACAGAAAATGTGATAGTGGGTTTTTCCATTTTGTAGGAAGGTCCAAGTGGCGTATTCAAAATTCTCAACAGTTCACTAAAAGTAGGTACTTCAGTTGCAAGGTGCAGTTTATTATGTATACTAGTGTTATGGAAAATTTGGAAGTGCCGTGTAAACGCCGAAAAATTGGTCCTTTAACAGTTAATGAAAAAACATTAATATTTAATTGTTTTAAATCATTTACAGACAAACGTTTATGTG